TGATGATGATGATGGTGATGATGATGATGATCATGATGATGATCATGATGACGATGATGATGGCAGTGATGATGATGGCAGTGATGATGATGATGATGATGATGATGATGATGATGATGATGGCAGTGATGATGATGATGATGATGATGATGATGATGATGATGATGATGATGATGATGATGATGATGATGATGATGATGCTGTACCCCGCCAACCCCGCGAACCCCGCCAACCCCGCCAACCCCTCCAACCCCCCCCGCCACCCCCGCCAACCCCCTCGAACCCCGCCAACCCCGCAACCCCCCAACCCCACCACCCGCCACCCCCCGCCAACCCCGCCCCGCGAACCCCCCCCGACCCGCCCAACCCCGCGAACCCCGCCAAAACCCCGCCAACCCCGCCGACCCGCCGACCCGCCAACCCACCCCGCCAAACCCCGCCAACCCCGCCAACCCCGCCAACCCCGCCAACCCCGCCAACCCCGCGAACCCCGCGTGCTTCTCTGCATACGTATGCATACGTATGAATGCATGCCTGTATGGGTTTTTCTATGTCTGTATCTATGAATGTATGCATTTAGTTAGTATGTAATTATGTATGGTTGTGTATGTTATGTTTTGTTTTGTTATGTAATCTAACGTGACGAAAAGTAAGGTAATGTAATCTTATGTATGTATGTCTATACATACACATGTATTTTAATCCATGTATGATAAGTTTATAAATATAATACTTAGACTTATGCATGCATGTTTCATTAATAGACTGCTCTATTTCTTCACAAGCGCAGCCGTCACATAGAACGGAACAGTCCAAGCCACGGGTCACCCCCCCCCCGGCTCTCAGGACCATGCGGGAAGCAGCAAATCTGCAGTGCCGTCTTGGGGAACCTATCCATGGTCTGCTGCATTGGAAGTCCCGCCAAGTAGAGGCCACCTCCCTTCCGTGACTGCCAGATGCATGTTGGAGCCTGGGCTGTCCCTGAGCCAACACCCAACCTCTCGAGGTGCATGTCCAAAGTATCACCTGCCGCCTTCCCACGGCCTTTCTTGGGCATGGCCTTGATCTGTGGCTTTCCAGGGGCTGCCATACGCTTGGGGGTTGTGGCAGTCGCCATTGGCTTAGGGGTAGTAGCCGTAGCCTTTGGAGGCGTCTTTGGGGCTGCAATCGCCGGCGCCTTAGGCGGTGTCCTCGGTGCAGCGCTGCCTCGGGCTCTCTTAACGGCTGAGCGCATAGCCTCTGCCACCTCATCATCGGTTGCTCCACTTGCCCCGGTCCTCTTTCTGCCGAACTGAGCCTTCGCTCCAACGGCTGCCGGCACCAAGGATGCCGAAGGCTTGGGGGCTGCCGGGACTGCGGTCTCAGCGAGCACTGCGCGCTTGATGCGGCACACACCAGCGCCGTGTTTGCCACCGCATGCCCGTCCCGATTTTTGTAAGACGGCACATAAGTGCACTCCGAAGGGACAGGAGTCTGCTTCGTTCGGGCACGAATCCGTCTGGTAGTCTGGGCAGATGGCCTTGCCGTTCTTCAGGGTGGCTGTCAACACTTTCCCCTGAAGGTGGTCCGGCATTTGGGGGGCCGGTGCCGCTTCTGCCTCCTGGCGGGCTTGTTGCGCGGCTTCGACAAATTGCTGTGACAGTTTGAGCCTCTTCTTCACATCCTGAAAGTTGTGGGAGGAAGCCCACATTGGTTGCCTGTCCTGCCTCAGCAACCGGTCTGCCTCTGCTAAGCCGTGGACCCGGGCTGCGTCTAGCTCTGACTGCGGGATCGCCTCCCACAGCAGGTTGCTAGTCAGCTTCGCTGTCGCGCCCCAGATCAGTGATTTCACCTTGACCGACGCGGCGTATTTGGCCGACGAATAGTGGAAGGCCATTGCACCCACTTCTGGCACCTCGCCCTTGGCTTGCCAGTCACCCAGGGCGGCCATTTCTTCAGGCTTGCATTCCAACAATTGGGCCACCGTGGGTGCCAACCTTCTCCAACTGTAGGTGGTCAGGTCTTCAGGATTGTCGAGGAACACGGACATTTCCTGTTGCATCGTTTCTTGAACTTCAAGGATCGTCCAAGGGCGTCCTTCGTCCGAAAAACAAAGACCTGCCAGCCTCTGCCTTGCCGGTGCCAGTGTCCTGTAGGCCTCCAACACCTCCTTGGCCCAAAAGAACCCATTGGCAAAGGTGGCCGGCACTGCAAAGTCGAATCCCTCACGAGCATGCCTTTGTTTGCCTTTGGGACACCTGCAATGGAGGAATGCAGCGGTGAGGCGTCGAGGTTCTGTTCGAGATATATGCGCATACCTCAAACAGCCAAACGCCATGATCCAAGGGGCCAGGAGGACTGACCACCTTTCATCGCCTACCGCATGCAGTTCCATGATGCGGTCCTCCAAGGCCTGCACCAAGGGTGGCTCGACCACCGGAGCTTGCCCACGCTGCCCAGTCGCCCTGGGTGTTGTGGGAACTTGCAAGTTGCCCAGCTCAAGATCCTGGTCGGCATTCTTATTCATCCACTTCAAAGCTTGGAGTGCCCGTGCTGGTGCCGCTGTGTGGTTCAGGAACTGGTCAAGGTCGACCATTCCGGGAGGAGCGGGTCGCCCCCGGCTCTCCAAGAAGGTCCTCAGCTCCAACCAAGTGTTGACCACTCTGTCAATGGTGGCCTTTTCAGCGTCCTTCACCTTCTTTTCGGCGATCCTCCTGCACGTCTGCTTCCATTCAGCTTTGAGGGTGTCGGTCAAAATGCCGGCTGGCTTGTACGCGCCCATGCCAACAAACATTGACACCACGCCGTTCACCCTCTTCTGGACGGCTTCACTCAGGTTTTTGTCGACGTTGATGGCTCTGGGCTTCTTCTTGTAGATCGTCTTGCGCGCTGGGCGCAGAGTGACGTAACCCTTGGGGTGGTCCTCCACGACTTTGGCTCCAGCGGCAAGGAGGGTTTCTTCGACCCTTGCTCGCGTCTGCAACCAGTCATCGGCGACATGATGGCCAGCGAGTCCAACGACTTGATCGTAGTCTGTGTAGGCATAGGCAAAGTCATTGTCATCCAGAAGGCCTTCATTCTCCCTCCATTGGCGAGCCCTCTGAGCAGCAATCATCATTAAAGAGTCGGCCGCCCTCCATCCTGGTGCAGGGTCACCCCCTGACGAAGATGAGGCTGCCGCCTGAGCTGCATAGTAGCCTTTTCCGCCTGATGCCATGGCACTGCACCCTAACAGAATTGCTAAGGTGCGGAGAGCAAAAAGATGCTGCGGTGACTCCAGAGGTGCCTCCTCTGTCATAGCATCAACCTTCAGCGAACATCTTCTTACGGCCTCCACAAACTGTGCATGGCTGCCTCCATGTATAGCAGTCACTACACATGCCAACGCAGCAGGCCCAACACACGCGCCTGGTGGGGTCGCCGCACTCCGTGCATGCAGTCCCCAGATGCTGGACTCTGGCTTCTTGGCTTTCCAGCCATCCACAAAGAGCTCGATGAGCCCTGGCGCCCTCTCTCCCCCATGCCGGCCAGGGTCGCCCCCTGGGGGCCCTGGGGAAGTGACGCGGCTCGAGAAAGATCGGCAGGAGCTCGTGCGGGCCCACACATCGAAGCCAGACCCTCCATTGCTCGAAAAGCTCGCCCAGGCCCAGCTGCCCAGCGTCGCCCGCTGAACATCTGAGCTGGAGTCCATAGAGCTCTTGGGGCACCACGTCCTCGGCCACCTTGAAGTTCGTGTATGCCGAAACCAGCAGGAGATCCATGGGTTCCTGGTGCTGGTAGTAGTACTCCCAAGCATCCGCAGGCGCCACATCATCAGGCAGCACAACTCCCCGGCTATTCCACAAGCCAAGCCACGGGAACTTGAACCCACCCACATGAGCTGCGCAACGTGGACATCCATCAAGGCAGCAGGGCATTTTCGGCAAGGGGGGAAACAACTCACAATCTGTCCCAGTAGTGAGAACGTAGGGGGAGTGCAACACCTCGATACCATGCATCCAGCATGTGTATGCTGCTGGGCCCGAATCCTCCCTTGCCAGCCTCTCCACGTGGTTCTTGAATTCCAAAAACGCAGCCGCATGCAGGATCTTCGCCTCAGTGGCTGCTGGGATATCAATGCCTGGGAGTTTGCGCTGCATACAAGGTCACCCCTTGTGTTGAGTTTGAACCAACCAATCAAGGTCAAGTAAGGTCGCCCCTTACAATGACCGAGAAAGAAAACAGCAATGAATGCTATTTTGGTTCAAGTTTACTTGAGCCAAAATGATAGCATTCATTGAACACTTGAAGATGATACATGCACACCCAAGCCTGCCAAACTCGATGCATGGGTATATATATATATGCGTGTGTGTATATATATTTATGTATATATATATATATATCGTTTCTTATGATTTCTTGTGTGTTCATTTGATTATGTATTCATTTGTTTGTGTCTTTTGGTTTATTTGTGCTTTTGATTCTGTTTATTTATGCATGTATCTAATCATCTATCAGCAAAGACCTATCATTTCTGACGCGCGCCTGGGCGGATTTTTGGGGAAAAAAGACATCTATCTATATATTTAGTTCTTGATGTTAACAATTATGTCATGCTATATTATACAATATATTTATATATGTGTGTGTATGTATGTATGTATGTATGTATGTATGTATGTATGTATGTATGTATGTATGTATGTATGTATGTATGTGTGTATGTATGTATGTAATATATTGTAGGTAATATTTGTATATAATACATACATGTGTATATATATATACGTATGCAGGATATGCTATACCAACTTATAAGTATAGAAAACTATACATACGGGCTGCTACATACGTATACATATTCAATTGATAATGATGATACTATGATAATGATCAATGATAACGTCAATTTATATATCTACAGCAATGCCAAAATCATTTTTAACATCTGATCATCTCCCTAATGGTGCCCCCAGCCTGTCATCAACTCGCCTTCTTTCTGTCTTTTTTTCGCCCACAAGTGCCATGGCTTAGAATGCTCAGCCCTGCCGCGCCATCGACACTGAGACATATGCTGCATCCTGGGCACGGCATGACACCTTTGACCCATGAAGATTGGGATGGAAGGAAAACTATGGCGCATCACTGTCCAAGACCCAAACACATTGGGACTGAAGCAACAAGAACTCAAGCCAAAGCGATGAGTTTCGGTCCAAAGAACTCAAATTTGCCCAAAACCCCTGGGTTTTCCCCCTAGCATAAGAGGCTACAATGGTGACCATTGGATCCCAAACAGTTCATTTCCGTTTCTCTTGGCTTCAGCGCCAAGGCTCACTTGCCGCATGCAAGCCATGCCAGGCGCCGATGGTGCCAGCAGCTGCAAAAGCACCACACCTTTCAGGTGGACTTGGAAGCTGCAGCAACGCCGTCGCCTACCAGGTCAAAGGTGAAATGACGTGCTTGGCGTTGCTGGGTGAATCCTGCATAGAAGATATGCACATCTCTGCAAGATAGTGGTTGGTTCATGGGGTTCTTGTCTTCCAAATGATGGAATACTAATGACAAATAAATGGAAAGGACGTTTCAGAGGATCAACTGCAGATCCAAGGGCCTCTATCCCATGTGTTCTTCATGAATCACTCGCCCCCCTGTGGCGTTCTACATACGAAAAACCACTCCATCGCAACGGCCTAGATATGGGGACGTTTCACCCCAGGGCCCCATGTGCCTCTGGCAACGGCGACTCAGCTACACAGCCAACCATTGCAAGAAGGAAATTCGCACCTGGAGCGAAGTGGGTGGTCTTGGACACTCTCTGCACCGTACCGCAAACATCGACGGTATGTGCTTGAACTGGTCAGAAGTTCTGAACCATTCTGAACCAATCCACCCAAATGTGCCACCAAATAATTTTGAGCTCCAGGCAAACCATCTCCATGTTCTACTTGGGGGTGCTTTTGTCAGTACTGTAATGGATAAGAACCCACATAAGCTTGGATGATATAGCATGAGAATTAATCATTGATATAACATCCTATAACTATGGTTTCATACATATATATATATCATCTCAGTTGCGCCATTTCTCCTACCATTTCCTCCACTTTCCACGCGCCATTTTTGACCCATGCACCTGGCTGCGCTGCCAGCCATTCCTCCAGCGCCTGCAACGCCTGCCCTGCGGCCAGCGTGCAGCAGCTGCCCCCAATGGCCTTGATCCAGAGACCTGGAAAACGTTCCGAACGGCCAGGTTTTTGACCAACCTATGACTTTCCAGGAAGATCAGGTAGGTTACAGTAGAACCAAACGAAGTCAGCCTGCCTGCTACTGTAAATAGTTGTGTGGCATTATAACGTACTATAACACACTATAACCATCACTTGTAAAACCCAGGTAACCCAGCTATGGCGGTTACCTTTACCTGTCTTTAACTATGGGCCGATTCTAGTATATTCTAGTGGGTTACTCCGGTATATCGATGATGGAGCCCACAAAATACCGGGGATCAGGAAGAGCCGCTGTTCGAACGGATGTCTCATTTTTGGTCCAGCCTGCGGCACGTTGGCCAGATACTTCCAGTGTGGTAACGGCATCTTCCAGAAACGACACTGACTTCGAGGGCCCGGCCTGACACACCACCTCATGGCAGACAAAGCAAGCACAAGATCCATGATGTATGTTGAATGATGGGGCCACAGTAGTCCCATCCCCATAATTTTCACTCACCACATACGGACCCCCAAAATGATCCAACACTTTATGGGTTGCATTTAATGTCAGGGCGATGGGATTACTTTGAAACGGGGTTAACCCCTGGTTGCCCTCGCATCCAGGAAAACTCAACCTATCATATCTAGTAGGGGCCCTTCATTGTACGTGTCTGGCCGTGCTCACACACGAAAACTGCGAAGAATGGAGCGCCTTGATTCCTGTCAATGGCTCCCTGACACCACCACGCTGCAGCAACACAACCGGTTTAAGGTCTGATCTCACTTTCAGTGGAGTGATGCTTGGCTGCCATCCACAGACAAGTTGCAGTCGCTTTGAAGCACTGGGCCGGGAGCTCCTATGCACAATGCATCACTGGGCGCCAAGCGATGACACAAAGCTGCCGTCCAATTGTAGGCATCATCCCGACGGTCCTCTATCCACCATTCGCCTTGACGCTTCCAGCGGAAGAGTTCGGATGATTTGCCTCGGTTGCGATTGTCATTCAGCCGAGTTACGTCCTCCGGTGTAGGTTTTAAAACAAAAACATGTTCTGGACTGCAACACAGGAGACATTCCGCATTATGATTCATTTGGATTCATTTGGGGGGTTCTAGATTTCAATAAATAATTATCGTATTCTTGGGCTTGTTATTATACACTGTGATTACTACCAAAATATGTTTACGACATGTTTAACAAATTTATAGATGGGTTTGTCTGAAAATGGCTACCCAAGATCGAAAGGTTTATCATTTATCATCATTTGCCCCAATTTTAAGTGCCACTTGGCAGGTATACCCCATTTTTATTCCATTTTTAGACACAGCCAGATCAACGTTCATTTCAGCCATGCGATTCTTTCCAAGACCCCAGCCTAGTCCTTCCACAGGCTTCTGGAGACTTGCACACCTCCCGGATGACGTGGGCTGTGGATGCTGATGATCTATGAGAAATCCCCTGTAAATGAAGGTTCTACTGGAAAAATCATCTGTAAATGGAGTGACTATCCATTGGCTTGATTTATGGGAACATGTAGATCCGAAACCAGGTTTTCGTTACCCCAAATTATTGGACGGTTTCATCCCGTTCTTGCCTTCAACCAATTCTGGTATGTGAATGATCGGACCTGCCCATTTCTCGCTGCAGATCCACATTGAGAACGGCTTGCAAGTCAGTGAAGGTATCAAACCATTCCTGCTGCAGGAAGCGAAACATGACATGCCACCAGCATGGCAAATTCTTTCCACTCAGTAAATACAGTATTGCAACACCTTACAAAAACTGAATTCATCCAACCCTTACGGCCAAGTTCAAAAAAAGAATGTTGAGTTGGGACATGTTGGGACACCACACCACCATCTTTGCCAACGCTCTTCACCCCAGGCGTTTAGTATTTAGTACTGCCAAGATTCATCCAGTACCTTCTGCAGAAACCCCCTCACTGCCGATGAGACCTGAACAAACTCCGAGACTCGCTCCGGGTACCCTCTGGTGAACTAACATAGCAATGGAAAATCACCATGTTTAATGGGAAAATCCACTATAAATGGCTATTTTCAATTGCTATGTTAGTTCACCAGAGGGTAGCATTCATGACATGGGGAAGGTTGATTCCAAACACCTGCCCCCTCCAAGTTGCCTTGAAAAGTGTGTTCAAACATGTTCAAACTTCAGACCATCAAGTTTAAGCAAGAGTTGATGCCACATAGGTGGCTTGTTTCGCTTCAGAAATAGCCAAACTGCTTTCTGACCAAAATTATGTAGGTTCTAAATCTTTCATGGTCCTTCACCCGTTAACGTGAAAGACTTGCAGCGGGGTTGACCTAGCTCCTTGCTTAAGCCAAAAGTTTGGCTAGAAACAAAGGTTTAGTCAGTAACAACAAGGTTCTGATTACTGAGCGCTTGGTTTCAAGTTCCATTGTGAAAAAAGACATGGACCCGGTGCAGCTGGGAAGACATTCAATACTTCACATACCACCATACCCGATACACACATCAGCAAATAAGCGAAGCCAAGAAGTGGTCAAAAGACCCAACTTTGGTCAGTAATACAGAGGTCCCAAATCCCGAGCAAACTGTCTCAAGCTTTTGTATCAAAAACATGGCTACCTGATGTGACTCACGCGCCCGAAAAAAATGATTTACTCACATGCACATGAATTGGTGGGGCATGTGCTAATTTTCTTTGAACAACTTTTGGCTCAATCCCGCACTAGGAGCTTTTATGTGAGCCGTATCAGCCTAATCTTGCACACACACACACACCAAATTTCAACCCTTATAGGAAGTTTTTTTACAATGTTTAATGGTTTGCTGAAAAGCTCTGGGTAACCGAGTTCTCTTCAGAAGATCTCTCTTTAAGCTCTCCTCAGAATGCATTTGCCTGAGGTTTCTTGCCGCAACTCTTGCCGCGATATTTGAGCGAGATCTTGAATAATCTTCTACAGAGGTTTATCGAGGAGATTCGTTTTCAGATCGGCTTTGTTTCTCTGTTATCTTAGATAAGCAAGCCCTAACTCTGTTGAGGAGTGAAGTTTTATGGGGAAGGTCTGTCGCGTTGTCGCGCGATCTCTTGGGAAAGTCTTGGGAAAGTCATGCAGATGAAGTCTGTGTGTGCGAAATCTCAGATGTCTGTAAGATACAATGAAAATATAGTCAGTTGAAAGCTTGTCAGGACCTCGGCCCGGGAGAACGAGCAATCTGGCAAAATCAAGGTATAAGAGTTTTGAAAGGCTGACGGCAAACTCATGTTTAAGACTTTCGTCAATAAACTTTGTTTGAGGGATTGCATTCAAAACAGGCTGCTGGAGAGGCCTAATAAAGCTTCAAATTCAGCCATTTTGGTGTGCCTTGCAAGCGGCGGTCAAATTTCAAAACAAGCGGGGCGCTGAAGATTGAAAAACAGAAAGGCACACGTTATACGCCACGCTTCCTACACTGGAGGTATCATCATCGTTGGTTTGATGCTTCCAAAAATGGGATCTCTGTATGCACTAGCGCACCCTTACGTCAACTCCTTTGGGTTTTTCTGCCAATGTATGAAGTACGATGCGCGTTAAAGATGCGTCGGCTAGCTACAACTCGATATTACACACGCTACTCCTACAGGGCAGGCGAGCACAAGAGATTTAGTATATCGTCTTTTGTCTGCACTAGGGGTTTGTTGGCTAGCCTTCAACCTCCATGGTATCTATCTATGGTTCCAAAAATGCTCCGGTAAGCCTCAAGATTGGGACTTCGCAAGGTTTCAGGTTTAAGAAATATACCATGGATATTGATTCAAAAGCCTAGGGGGGCGCACAAAAGTGCAGCAAAATCATTTTAAAACCTGAAGAAAAATTGTCGGTGTAGCAACCCCTGGATTTATTGCGAGCCGTCTAAGCTTTGGTTGTAAATTGGAAATCCAAGGGGATTTGATTGTAACATGGAGTGGCGACTGGTTTTACCATTGGGTTCCATCGGCTCTAGTAAACTTGTCCGTTTGGACAAAAGAGTTGTTTCCCATCAATGTTCTTACCGCTATGACCACCTTGGTGAACCGACTTCGCCACAAGTCCCAACCATGTTTGCTCAAATTGAATGGTTTCCAAAACTGATGGGATGAAAACGGAAACCTATAGAAGCAAACCTAGGAGCTTTTTCATGCTATATGTCTGCTGGATATTGTCCAAACCAGCAAGGAAATTCCATCAGATGGTTCAATCCATTCCCTGGGTTCCGAAAGGGCTTGGGTTATAAGATGCGTCGGTGCTACCAGCAAATCCAATGAATCCTAGCTGAAGGCCCAATAAAAATTACGCGTCTGCATACACGACAGGCTGGGGAAACAGGCTTCATTGGTCTAAATGATTGCTTCACCAGCAATCATCCAAACTTTGTTGGTTTCAAGGACACAAGAGTCTTTCAGTTGAAACAGGTTTTCCTTTCACCGGCAGCTGTATTAAATCTAACCTACATATAATATCATTGCAGTCTTGAAAGTTTTGATATTCCAATTTTTTCATGATGGGGTTTCAAAAATTCCAGATGCTATGGGGAATGGGTAGAATAGAAAAGAACACGATGTGAATATTAACACGTCGAATTGGAAGATTCCGGACTGTACATGATGCAGTTAGAATACCGCAGATGTTTTGCATCCATTTCCTTTCGCTTTCCATTACCTCAGCATTTAGGCATTTAGTTCCGTTCATGTTCCTTCCGTGCTGCATCCGTTTCCTTTCGTTTTCTTTTCAGTTTGCATCCATGTCCTTTCATGGCCCTCCATTTAGTTGTCTTGACGTTTTGCATCCACTTCCTTTCATGTTACCCCTCACTTTGCACCCATTCATGTCCTTTCATATTGCATCTTAATCTCATGTCATGTGCCATTCATGTCCTGTCATGTTTTTTTAAAAATTGCATCAATTTCCTTTCATGTCCTTTTCATCTTGCATTCATTTTCCACAGCCCAACCCTTTGTTGGTAACATTCTCCATGCATTCTAAGAGCAGGCCGGGCCTTTAGATAGAATATTGCGCACATGCTGCACCCGCCATCGTAAATCCGATTTGTACGAAATCTGGACTTAACAAAACCGTTCCAATTGCTGGCCTGAAACTCTACAGCGCCAAATATGTTCAAAAGAAAAACGTTTTTGCTCACAGACCTGGTCATGACGCAACTCAAAAAATTGATATCTTCGCAGACCTGGGCATGCGAAAAAAATATCCATTGATCTGACATGATGGTGTTTCCTTCCCAATTCTTTGGCAAAGAGAAACATGGATCACATGTGGTTGCCCGCGTCTTTCCTTGTCTAACTTCTTTTCTTTTTCGCCAAGCTCATTCTTGAGTAGCCCCAAACCTAACCTTGATGCCGACATTGCATGACTTGAGTAGCCACATCCTGGTCAAAAGTTCTTTTTCCTTAGTAGCCAGCTACTCACCAAGACAACTTTTTTCCTCAGCAGCAAGCCACTGACCAAAATCCAATTTTCTTCAGCAGCCAGCTACTGACCAAACCTCCTTTTTCCTCAGTAGCCAGCTACTGACCAAATCCATGGCTCCGCAGTAGCCAGCTACTGACCAAAACTTTTTTTTCCTGAGTAGCCGGCTACTGACCAAAAACATTTTTTTTTCCTCAGTAGCCAGCCCCTGATCAATTTTTTTTCCTCAACTACCGGCTTTTGAGCAAAATCCATTTTTCCCCAGAAGCCAGCTACTGACCCAAACCCCTTTTCCTCACGAGCCAGCTACTGGCTCAAACCCATGCTTCCTCATTGGCCACATGCTGACCAAGTCCATATTTTGTCAGTAGCCAGCTCCTTACCAAAACCCATGCTTCCTCAGTAGCCAGCTACTGACCAAATCCATGGTTCCTCGCTAGCCAGCTACTAACCCAAACCTCTTTTTCCTCAGTAGCCAGCTACTGACCAAAAACATTTTTTTTCCTCAGTAGCCAGCCCCTGATCAATTTTTTTTCCTCAATTACCAGCTTTTGAGCAAAATCCATTTTTCCCCAGAAGCCAGCTACTGACCCAAACCCCTTTTCCTCACGAGCCAGCTACTGGCTCAAACCCATGCTTCCTCATTGGCCACCTTCTGACCAAATCCATTTTTTGTCAGTAGCCAGCTCCTTACCAAAACCCATGCTTCCTCAGTAGCCAGCTACTGACCAAATCCATGGTTCCTCGCTAGCCAGCTACTAACCCAAACCTCTTTTTCCTCAGTAGCCAGCTACTGACCAAATCCATGGTTCCTCAGTAGCCAGCCCCTGATCAAAATCTTTTTTCCTCAGCAGCCAGCTAGTGGCCAAAATTCATGTTTCTTCAGCAGCCAACTTCTCACCAAAACCCACGCTTTCTCAACAGCCACCTACTGACCAAAATCAATTTTTCTTCAGTAGCCCGCTACTGACCAAAATTCATTTTTCCTCAATAGCCAGCCCCAGATGGAAATCTATTTTTCCTCAATTGCCAGCTTTTGACCAAAATCCATTTTTCCCCAGAAGCCAGCTACTGACCCAAACCCCTTTTCTTCACGAGCCAGCTACTGGCTCAAACCCATGCTTCCTCATTGGCCACATGCTGACCAAATCCATTTTTTGTCAGTAGCCAGCTCCTTACCAAAATCCATGCTTCCTCAGTAGCCAGCTACTGACCAAATCCATGGTTCCTCGCTAGCCAGCTACTAACCCAAACCTCTTTTTCCTCAGTAGCCAGCTACTGACCAAATCCATGGTTCCTCAGTAGCCAGCCCCTGATCAAAATCTTTTTTCCTCAGCAGCCAGCTAGTGGCCAAAATTCATGTTTCTTCAGCAGCCAACTTCTCACCAAAACCCACGCTTTCTCAACAGCCACCTACTGACCAAAATCAATTTTTCTTCAGTAGCCCGCTACTGACCAAAATTCATTTTTCCTCAATAGCCAGCCCCAGATGGAAATCTATTTTTCCTCAATTGCCAGCTTTTGACCAAAATCCATTTTTCCCCAGAAGCCAGCTACTGACCCAAACCCCTTTTCTTCACGAGCCAGCTACTGGCTCAAACCCATGCTTCCTCATTGGCCACATGCTGACCAAATCCATTTTTTGTCAGTAGCCAGATCCCTACCAAAACCCATGCTTCCTCAGTGCCAGCCAGCCAGCTGACCAAATCCATGGTTCCTCGCTAGCCAGCTACTAGCCCAAACCTCTTTTTCCCCAGTAGCCAGCTACTGACCAAAAACTATGTTTCTTCAGCAGCCATCTTCTCACCAAAACCCACGTTTTCTCAATAGCCACCTACTGAACAAAATCCATTTTTCCTCAGTAGCCAGGTACTGACCAAGTCCAGTTTCCTCAGTAGCCTGCTACTGACGAAAACCCATATTTCTTCAGTCCAGCTACTGACCACATCCACGGTTTTTCAATAGACAGCTACTGACCAAAAACCTTTTTTCCTCAGTAGCCAGCTGCTGACCAAAATTCCTTTACTGAAAAGCCAGCTACTCACCAAAATCGGTGTTTCCTCAATCATTTCCCTCGATAGCCAGCTACTTTCCCAAATCCATGTTTCTCATAGACCGGCTACTCTTCAAATCCCATCAAAAACACTTTTTCCACAGTAGCCAGCTACTGGCCAAAAAACATTTTTTCTCAGCAGCCAGTTCCTCACAAAAATCGATGCTTCCTCAGTAGCCAGCTCCTGACCAGAACCGTTTTTTCCTCAGTAGCCATCTTCTGGCTGAAATCCTATGTTTTGGATCGCCATGTCTTGATCAAGACATCAGAAAGCATCTGATGACCAGACCCTCTTTTCTTCAACAGCTTTCTCTAACATAGCAAAAGGCTGTAGTTGGTCAGCTGCTGACCATTGGCTTGGTGCTGCATTTTTCTGAAATTCTTCGACAAGCATCAGAGCTAATGGCCAAGGATATGCCATTGTCTTATGTGCCGTATCTCAACTAAAACTAGTTTGCTGGCGAAAAACAATGTGGTTTTGCCTTCCAACGAAGGGGAAACTGGCAACCTAGCGCTCCTACACCAAAAAAAACAAGAATTTGTTTTAAAATTGGTTCCAAGTGCTCGGCAACTATCGCTGCAGTCAGCTGCATGCGTTTGATTTTGCATTTTTTTGTTCATGTTGTTTTACACCAGGCTTTGACAAAGAAGTTGGAGCGCATTTTCCAATTTCATTTTCTGCGAAAGAGATATATGTTCACTGTGACAAGTGCTTATAGCACCTACATCTCAAAACAAGGACGGGTTTTGCCCGTAGCCAGCCGCTGCTGCAAAGAAAAATGCATTCCCCTCATTGTTTTTTCTGAATCCAGCCAGCGCAAAGGTGACCCAGGATTCAAGCTTACAGATTTCAATTTGTGAATTTACAAGATTTCAAACAGTCTTGTTTACAAGAAAGGCAAACACGCATGCCATCAGCCATCAAATTTGAATCATAAACTTGGATTCACGGATTTTGTTCGTTCATAATTTTGTATTTTTGCGGTTTGAAAAAAGAAAAAAACGAAAATTTGAATGCGACAAGCAAAACCAAACACAAAATCCATCTTGCAAATTGCAAAACGGCAAACTGTTGAAACCGAAACTCTGCATTCTACATGTGCCTTAGAAGATTGAGCTACAATTTTGCTCGTTTGATTTTGTATGTTTTATGATGTGGTATCAAATGCCATACAATCGGGTAGTAAACAATGAGTCATACGATGGTCATCCGTCAGAAACCAAACGTCCAATCTACTGACGAACTTTGGCTTCAACAAATCAACTACCTTGAAGGTCTGAATGTTCAAACTGTATATCATGCTGTATATCAAGAAAGTGCAGTTGGATCCTGATAATTAACACCAAGGGAAATATCTACTGTTATCTCCTCACTCGGGTAGAAAAAAACATAGAACAAGTAGATATCCCAAGCTCTGCTCAGGAGTGACAGTGAGGCAAGTCCCCCAGTGCATATTTTGTCTGAAAATAGGGTACCCCAAAATTCACAGGTTTATCATCATGTTCCCCATGAGGTACAATTTTGGGATATCTCTCATGTTCAGACTCAAACATCATCCCATCTTTATAGGTTACCTAGGACCTAGGGCCATGGGGAAAGCGCAGGAAAATCGTCTACAAATGGTGGATTTTCCCCATTGAACTGTTTGTTTACCCTACAATATGGGCCTCCCCCCCCAGTTATAAGTTGGTTTAAAGACCCTTTTCGCCATAGTTGTACATACATATATATATATATATAAATCATAAATCATAGCTTTTGAAGTTAGGGGGCCCTACACTGTAGGGTAAATCACCAACTTCACTGTCACTGCACCTTTCCTCGCCTCTTCCGGAAGGTTCACACAGCTTGCAACTCCCTCAGCTCCGCGCCTGCGGGAAGAGCCACAGGACCCAGCTCCACCCCAAAGTCCACCCCAGGAACAAATAAATAAGGACCACTAACAACAATGATAAAGAATAAACAATGATGAGGATGATGAGGATGAGGAGGATGACGAGGATGATGAGGATGATGAGGATGACGAGGATGATGAGGATGACGAGGATGACGAGGATGAGGAGGATGAGGAGGATGATGATGATGATGATGAACATCATGACCATGACAATTGTGATAGTATTAATGTGGCAAGTGTCACAATAATTAAAAAATAGCTAAAAATAGTTGATAACAATAATCGAGAAACAACAATTGACAATGACAAAAATAAATAACAACGACGACTATATAATAAAGAATATATAAACCAAACAATGATATTAACATATTACAAAAACAAATAATATTGATGAATGACAACATTTAAAAAATAACATATCATGATAGTAATGAACATAGACCTCCAACAGTAATCAATATAGATGATCGAAAAAGATGATCTAAACAAAACCCAGAAATTCTCAGAACAACTAGTTTGTGGGTCAGCGTCAGGATTTGTGATTGGGGGGGCGTTTCAAACAAAAAAAAAAAACATAGCTTTGGAAAATGCCCCGTAGAATCCCGTAGAAATAGATGATAAACATGATGCGTTACCTAGGTATAAAACGGCAATGTTCCAGTTCGCAGCTAAATAACCATAGGGTGAATCCCATCAAATAACCATAAATCCCATCAAATCCCATTAAGTCACCAATAATCCCTACTTACCCAAGGGTGTCTCCCCAAGAAATCCTATGGCTAGGCCCTAGGCGCCTGTACAAATTACCACCATCAATGAAGAGATCAGAGACTTCCCATGCTCGGTCGCTTTTCCCTGCGTCCTCCAGCCATTCCTCATGAAGTGCTTGGTAAACCCGACAGAATCATCAAACGTGGCTGGGAAATCCCTTAGAAATGGAGGCTTTTAACGGGAAAATCATCTATAAAATGAAGAAAATCCTCCATGTGTAGAGAGGACTTTGTCAGTAAAACACCATTTATAGAGGATTTTCCATTGCCATGTAGAAGTACTGGAGGGTATGGGGGATTCCCTCTGCTGCGCCACAATCTGGTAGCATATCAAAGGCTATCAAGCATCGGAATTTGATGGCTGAAATGAGGCCACAGAAAGGCTAGACCTATATATCTGGTTCGAGTTCTCTGTTCCTTGCATATGTGTGATGTTTCCTGGTATGAAATAATCATAAATAATCCCTAGAAGCCACGCAGCACATGGCAGTGAAGGGGCAGGGAAAGGAATTGCAAATGACGCAGCATAGAAATACACTCACAAGAGCTGCGGCTAATCAACATGCATATCTTATGATCCCATCCCCCCAATATTAATATCGCCCCTGTACACCCTGATTTAGTACGGGATCCATTCATGACTTGGCTCCCACATGTGGGATATATATCTAGCTATCTATAAATCTATCCATCCATCCGTCCATTCGTCCATCTATCTATCCAAATATTTGGAAGGGATCAAATCCAATCCACATTTCCCGCGATTCTGAGGATCTTTGTCTCTCTGCATCCACAGCCAGTAGCCTTGAAATTGCTCCATGAAAACCTCCAGAAACTCGGCGTCCTTGCTGCGGTCCTTATGATCTGAAACTGGGCATCATTCGCATTCTCTAAGAGAAGTTCTAGGTCTAGGCCTTCCACTTCCACAACTCCTAACCGTTTGTAAGAACGTAAAAACAAAGTGGTCAAAAAAATGGTGACAAATAAGTTTTGTTTTAAAATCAGTCATCAACATGACAATAGAAACAAAAAAATGCTGACATGTAAAGAACAAAGAAAAAGTCATGAAAAGAATAGATATAATATGATATAATGATATTTTAAAAAATCAACACTAGAAATCATATATAACAGTTAGATAACAGTTGTAACCCTTGGATTTCCTCAGGATTCCCATCGTTTCCAGGTTCCGTCAACCGTCATTCTTTTCGAGCCAGGCGGCCGGCCAAAGCTTCAGCTTCTCGTCCAAGATTCGACGCCAAGGCTTCGCGCCATCCTGGAGCTGAAATGGTAATTTCTTGTGTAGCAATAAGAGTATCATAGTATCAATGTATAGTAAACATACTAGTAACAATGATAAATAATAATAATAACAATAATAATAACAATAGTAATAATAATAATAATAATAATAGTAATAGCAATAATGGCAATAGTTAGTAATGACAATAGCTAATGGTAATAATAATGACTATAATAAATAGTACTCATGCTAATAATAAGAGAAGATAATAACAATAGTGATGATGCTATGTAACATGGTGACAAGATATAATATAGTAACAAGAATATTAATATCAACAATAAAAATAACAAATGATAACAACAGTACTTAATAATATGTAATAATGTCATAGTAGTGAATGAAACAACATAAAGAGTCGGACATTGCAAAAATAATAACATCAATAATAATACTAACCAGGACAGGTGACAATGACAATAATTAATAGTAATATATAAGAATCATCATACCAATGACATTTCGAAAACAGGCTGAAATAGTTGTAATTTACTTGGCTATGTTGTTGTTGTTGTTGTTGTTGTTGTTGTTGTTCTCCCTCTCTCTCATCGGTCACGGAGAACCATGGAAAATGACCAAAATATTGGAAACTACCAATTGAATCAATATGATCAAAAGTGAGAGAGCTGTATAGTAATTGGAACATTGATCATTGCTCCCAATTATGACTGGAAAATATCAAAACAAGGGTTTCAATGTTTGGCAAAAGTTCACCAGCTCTCCCACAGCCAAGCGTTGAAACCCGCCACGTTTTCCTCATTCTGAGGACTTGACTTCGCCAGAAAAGTGCACCACTTTCACTTTGTCAGCCTGTAGCGCCCCATGGCTAGGCGTTTGTCCAAAAAGATGCTATTAAATTCATCGTGATCATCATGTTCCTCCTTAAACTGTATATCTTAGACTAACTATTTTGGTGTACTCTTCCAATCATTACAGTAAATCAATCATAGTAAATCCATGACTCTCCCCCGTTAAAATTGCCATAGATTGAGACATCTCCCCAGTGGACCCAAGCCTGCGCCAAAGCCACCCGTTTGGAGCTTTCGACCTGCGCTGGTCTTGCGCCGCTTAAAAAAGCGCTAGGAACATCCATCTGGTGGCACCCAACGGCCGCTTATTGGTTGAAGAGAGGATGATAATATTGGGAATTATTATCATCCCATATTGGGATAATATTATTGATAATATTGGAATTATCATCCCATATTCAACCAATAATTCACCAACCCCAACAGGCCTTGTCAGGATGTAGGCAGTTGAAGAAGTGATGGATCTGGAAGTTGTATTCAACGCCGATATGCTTCCAAGGTGAGTCTGCGAAGTATCTGCTCAGGTAATCCTGGCTGCAGCGAATCTCATTCACCTTCCAAGGGGCTTGCAGTACCACGAGTGAGTGAGTTCCCCACCAAAAAGAAGTCTTTGAATCCCCAAAAAAAGATGGGAAAAGGATGGAAAAGGAGGAATATGAAATATGAGAACCCCTCTGCCGAGTCTTGACTTCTCTCCAACCACTGGTCTCCTGCTCCGGCCCGTTTCCATTGCAATGTTCCGGATGGTTCGGTTCAGATAGCTCTGCCACCATCTCATTGAACACATGCTGGTTGGGCTGGAGGAGCATGACCCCCGCATTGATACCTCCACAAAACATGGTCAGAAGATGTCAGAAGATGTCAGAAGATACGGCAATTTTTCTCCAGCTCCGCTCCGCTTGCGAATTCCGAGATCTTTCAAGACTTGAAGATCTATGATTTATTGATGATTTTCCCAGCTATACAGTAAACCTCCATTTAGTTCGGGGATTTCCCCGATTGCCATGTTTCCAGAGGGTACATGCAAGGAAGCACATTGCCAAAGCCAAACAACCAGTTCCACACGGCTGTTCAATCTCGTCAGGCGGCCTGTTCCTTGGCCCCAAGACCAACGGCTGTCATCGTGCCCCATAAAGAAAGCACGACCATCGATGGCATCTCCTACGATTTCGGCAACAAAAACAAATGTGGAGGTTTCCTAAGTCACGGCGATACCCCTAAATCATGCATTTTTATAGGATGTTCTATATATCAACCATTTTGAACCATCCATTTTGGGGTACCTCCATTTTATGAAAACCATGAAAACATATGAAAACCCCCATGCGACTGATCAAAGTCGAGCTTCCACCCCCCTCCTGTGTTGAGCCAACCTGCCGCTCCCCTTCTCATGGCGGCTGGAGCTTGGAGGTCAAACAACTCGTCGATGTTTTTTCGCCTGGCACGTGGCGTCCCTGTTTCAAGTGACTCAAGGCTTCGGGATGTTTGCGAGGCACCCTGGGGGAGGTCTGGCAAAATGTCCTTCAAAATCATGTCGAATCAACCCAAGAATATGTCATGTTTATCACCAAGGGCACATAATTGAAGGATATTACAGTATTTCAGCCATGGCGCACGAGCAAATCGATGTCCAGCATCAAGATCTTCTCAAAATCCACCAGTTCCATCCCTCGTAGCTTCGTAAACACACGTGCGAAGCGGTGTTCTTGGCTGTACTTCCCCAGTGCAGCCACCGCCTTGATATCCTCAGGTGAGGCACCCGAACCCCATCATGGATTGACAGATACAAGTACATCAAATTGATGTATGGTCGATTGGGATCATCATCATCATCATCATCATCATCATCATCATCATCGTCATCATCATCGTCATCGTCATCGTCATCGTCATCATCATCGTCATCATCGTCATCGTCATCATCATCATAATCCCATGTTTGGGGCATGGAATATGTTTTTCCTTGATCCACCAACCAGTTGTTGCTGGCTGATGTAGATACCTCCTGGTTAAGTCCTCTTCCAAGTTCAATTTCCTGCTGGCAAAATGCAGAAAAATGTCGCGCCACCTCTGCCCCGTTGGTGAAGTCTATCCTGAAATTCCATTCAACCAGCATTCAACCACCATTTCATTTCCAGGTCTCCGTGACCCTTCGGCACTCCCAAATCTCCGCCAGCACTTGGACGAAGAGCTCCGGCACGTCCTCGGCGCAGAGGCACACGCGCGCGTGGCAGCTGCCGCTGCGGCGGAGGGAATGGCCCAGGACCAGAGCGCCCAGGACGTACTCGCTGGAGGAACCCCACCTGGAAAATCACCATGGTTGCATTGGGTTAGTGGGTGAATGATGGGCGAATCATGGGGTAATGATGGTTATTAATGGATGAATAATGGGTTAAGAATAGTTAAATGAGTGGAATATTAGTGGTTGCTATATAATTATATAATGATATATTATATAATAGTCAATGATCCTTTGGTAATCAAACATGGCTGGCTGAAAAAAAAAAGAATGAAGGTGCCTGGCTGGGAAAATCATCTAAATGATCTAAATGGTGCATATTCCAGCAAGCCATGTTTATTGCCAGAAAGCCTTTTCAGAGGAAAATCTACAGAACACCATAAGTTTCTTTTACCCTTAAACTATCTAAACTATTGGGTGGGTGCTGTATGAAGTTTCCCATTTGCTAATTCTGGAAGGGAGAAAAGATCTCACGAATGGTCAGGTGGCAATGGAAAAACTGGATTTGCAGATTGGTTTTCCCTTTGAAAATCGGATGATGCACTGAGACGCCGCGGGGTCCGGTGTCAAATGCATGCCCCTGGCCCTGCTCAAGGATCATCAATCGAACGCGCAGCAAAGTAAACATAGCTGTGGTTGCACACTCCCCACAACCAATAGCGAGTGTTCATCCCTACAAAAATGGGAAAAATGTCCAACAAAGCAATCACAGGAAAAAAATCATACAAGCATCTACCCGCCCCACCCCCTTTCTTCCCCAAGTGTTCCATGTTTTTCTGCAAAGAGACAGATTGATGACGTACGCGAAGCGCCCCTTCGCTGCCGGCAGCGGATGGAAGGCGGTCCATGGCTCTGCCAGCTCCAGGGTCAGGGGTCGCTTGCAGCAAGGGCAGTGGCCCCGCCAACCATGGGGCTCCCCGAGCTCCTGATGGGATATTCTGTGTGTGTGCGTGCCTTTGGACATCTTGAAATAGTTGAAATCTCTGCCAAAAAATGTTGAGACTTTTTAGATCTTTCTAGACATGTTGCATCATTAAAATAGATATTACACAATTATATATAATAATATATATATGTATACATATATATACACACAGACACATATCACCCTGATTGGCAAGGTTGTGCCCATATGGGGCCGCAATCATCGCCCCAGATGGCCCCAGCATGCCCTCCTGTCCCATCCATCGCGGCAAGGCTTGCTTCACCCCACTGCCTCGGAGAGGCGACGCAATGCGCAGGGCTTTGCGCACTCTGGCCCGGCGACGACAGGCCTGCCACAAGATGCCTTGGGGAAACGGAGTACGCGGGGAGCAGAAGTGGGTGACTTTACAGTAACAAAATACCGACAAAAAGCTGAAGAAATCCATCACTGGGTTTGTTTTCTGGCTGAAGAAATATAAGACCCAACAAAATACCAAAGCTGAGATCATCATTGGAGGTAGAAACAAAAATCTGGGCCCAGAAGCTGGATGCCCTCGCAGCAGCCTGAGCTGACGGAGCTTGCAGTGAGGAACCAACACAAGCAACGCGGATGTGATCATGTGTGTGTAGAACTATTATTTATTTATACACATATATATATATATGCATCATATATATATATATATCATATATATATATATCATATATATATGTGTGTGTGTCATATATATATATATATGTAATTATATATATATACGACATATATATATATATATCATATATATATATGTCGTATATATATATGTATGTAAGTATATATATGTATGTGTATCATGTATATCTATATATCATATTATATATATATCATATATATATAATGTATATCATATAAATATATGTGTCATATATATCTATATATCATATACATATATATATATAGATAAGAATATATATGTCATAAATATATATATATATGACGCATGTATATATATATATAAATGTGTGTGTGACATTTATAATATCTATATAGATATATGTATATTTTATTACATATATATAATATTACATATAAATATACATATATATTATATTACATATATATACATATCATTACATATATATATGTATATTTATATGACTGTGTGTGTGTGCGCATATTGAAAGATATGGAGATATTTGAGACATACACAGTATATATATATATCGATATGTATAATTATGTTATAATATATATATACATATGTGTGTGTGTATCTATACCCGTGTATTTATAAATACTTGTGCATGTCTGCTAGTAATCATAGTCTAGGAAACTATTAAAATCAGTAGTTTGAGTCGGAAAGAGGACCTCAAACCTTTGGGGTTCGGGGGGTGATTGGGCGGGATAGGGTGCTGTTCAAGCCTTCAGATATCCTCAAAGCCGAGGGATGCGAAACACTATGCCGATATATATATATACATATGTATATATACAATTACACGTCCATATCAATATTACGATGTTTCAAGTCTGGAATATTCTTGGCGTATTTCCATCCTGGAGCAGATAGTGTTCTTGCTTCATCTGTACATATTATATATTACTCAGAGAGTATTCGATCTACTGCAGGATGATAATGGAGTCCAAGGTGCGCTTCGGAAATAGGTGTAATCGGACTTACAGGAAACACCATCTTGTAGATGGTCAAAAAAACACAGTATCCTGCGAATGTTCCCTTTACATCCTTTGGCCAACCCAGTGATAGTGATAGATCGAGATATGCTCACCTTCCCATCTAGGACAATGTTCCAGTGCTTCTTGAAAATTTATCAATGGGTTCCTCAGCTGCTAGACCGCCAGTCACCATATAGATATATGCACAGAGACAGAGAGAGAGAGAGGGAGAGAGAGAGAGAGAGAGAGATATATATAGATATATATATATAATTATATATATAATTATATATATATACCTAGGACCTATGCATAATCTGGAAAACCCGATAATAAACCTACCATTTGGGGATGATATGTACCACCCATGTATGGTAATATTGGGATTGTTTATTATACGTCAGGTTTACCAAATTAGTTGACGTATGTTGACGTAACTATACATAGCGCATGTTCCACTTCTCAGCCTAGCGGCGCGGGCTGCACCTTTTCCAGCGACATAGCGGCGCAGCCGCATCAGCCGCGTCAAAGTCATGACGACTTTGACGCGTCGTGGCAGGCCCAACAGGGTATCCACTGAGTTTTCTTCCACTGGGGTTGGTGCCTGAAGATTGGGAATTCACCCATCTACATCAAATACTAGGGAACATGATGATAACTCGTGGGATTTGGGGGTGCCCTGTTTTCAGAACCACATGGATATAGGGGTGGTGCCCGATCTCCTCAAGTCTCCCTTGGTGAGCAAAAAGATGCACTGAGTCAGGCATGCCCTCCACGTCTAGCCTTAGATACCCTGCAAAAATCTCTGTGTGTGTGGTCAACATACATTTTTAGATTACATAGAAATCAGAGAGAGAGAGAGGGAGAGAGATGTGTATATATATATATATCTGCGAAATTATCTGTATATACACACATGTTTGGAGATATTTGCATGTATGTGATAGCATATAATATATCATAATATGATTTTTAAATATGAGTGAGTGGCATATATATATATCCCCAGCTACTGCCAAGTTGATTGATCCAACAAGCAGCAACAAGCACTGAGAAACCGAACGCGCTCCGGGCCGGCAACATGCAGGTTTTCACTTGCTGGGCCTGGCAAAATATGAACCAAGCCTTTCGTTTGGGGCACTTTAGATCGTCTTAACGATTCTATATCCCGATGTATCCCGGAGATCTGGGTATGTTCAGTCACTAGGTCAACCAGCCTGGGAAAGTGGGAGTCGGTATTGACGTCGGCTGTCTGTAAGCGCCACCTGGCTTATCTCAGAATAGGGTGCCCCAAAATTACAAGTTCTGTTGTTCAATGGGATGATAGACCATTGATAGACCATAGGGGGTTTTTGGGTCATACTGTCAGACGCAATGAAACAGTCGAGATGTTGCGGTTCATCTATCCTATCTGCATCACTTGTCGTGCCCATTCTAAAAATGTTTCCCCCTGCAAACCCTTGTTTATGAGGACACAATTTGCGGGCATGCTGTCCTGCCTTGATTTAGCAGCAAATCTATTCATTCTATGATCTTTTGGATGATTTTGAATTCTTTGAGATGGGGTATACCCCAAATCCACTGATTCAAAATGTCATTTTCCCCGTACAAATCGCCATCTTATGTGTACATCCCAGTTTCAGACACACTCGAATATCATCTTGTTGGTTACACGTATGTAAAATAGAAATGAAATTACAATACCAATGATGATAATCATAAAAAATATATTCATAATAATCATAACAATAATAAGTAATAATAACAATAATAATAAGTACATAATGATAATCATCATCATCATAATAACCACTAAAAAAAACTTAAGTGTTAATAAGCATAATAACCATTAAAAAATAACAATAATAATAATAATAATGGTTATAGCTATTGCAGTTATAATAACCATTATTAATAACCATCATTCCCCTAAAATGTTTCGCCTGGGCTTTGGGCCCGGGAGCTCCTTTCGAGCTGCCGGCTGTTGCCACCGTTGCCAGCGTTGCCGCCGTTGCCATTGGCCAAGCCCGCCTTGCGATGAGCCCATGGGGCTGGCTGGAAATGCCAGCAATGTTTGGGGAAAATCCATGAAAATCCTGGAGAAAATTGCAGTTTTACATCGTTTAAGCATCAAGAACTTAGCGTTAACCAGCAAACATGTGGATTTGTAGCCAACCAGAATGTGGAGATAATGGGATATTTGACCACCGACATGATTTTAGGAAATGTTGGAACTGAAAATGTGCCATGATTACACCCATCAGCAATTTGACCATCAAATTTGGGATACCCTATGTTTAGGCAAACCTATATGGGTTTAATTTGGCAAACCTCATGCCGTAAATCTGACATTATGTGTTATCAAAGGAAGTTTAGGGGGAGAAACTTCCGTGTTACGGACTTTTAGAATGTCAGGGAAAGAGTTAGTCAAAGAAAGAGTTAGTCAGGGAAAGAGTTAGCAAAGAAACAGTTAGTCAGGGAAAGAGTTAGTCAAAGAAAGAGTTAGTGAGGGAAAGAGTTAGTCAAAGAAAGAGTTAGTCAAAGAAAAAGTTAGTCAAAGAAAGAGTTAGTGAGGGAAAGAGTTAGTCAAAGAAAGAGTTAGTGAGGGAAAGAGTTAGTCAAAGAAAGAGTTAGTCAGGATATATGAGGTAGTCAAAGAAAGAGTTAGTCAGGATATATGAGGTAGTCAAAGAAAGAGTTAGTCAGGATATATGAGGTAGTCAAAGAAAGAGTTCGCAAAGAAAGAGTTAGTCAAAGAAAGAGTCAGTCAAAGAAACAGTTAGTCAGGGAAAGAGTTAGTCAAAGAAAGAGTTGGTCAGGGAAAGAGTTAGTCAAAGAAAGAGATAGTCAGGGAAAGAGTTAGTCAAAGAAAGAGTTAGCAAAGAAAGAGTTCGTCAGGGAAAGAGTTAGTCAAAGAAAGAGTTAGTCAAAGAAAGAGTTAGTCAGGGAAAGAGTAAGTCAAAGAAAGAGTTAGTGAGGGAAAGAGTTAGTCAAAGAAAGAGTTAGGAAAGAAACAGTTAGTCAGGGAAAGAGTTAGTCAAAGAAAGAGTTAGTGAGGGAAAGAGTTAGTCAAAGAAAGAGTTAGCAAAGAAACAGTTAGTTAGGGAAAGAGTTAGTCAAAGAAAGAGTTAGTGAGGGAAAGAGTTAGTCAAAGAAAGAGTTAGCAAAGAAACAGTTAGTCAGGGAAAGAGTTAGTCAAAGAAAGAGTTAGTCAGGGAAAGAGTTAGTCAAAGAAAGAGGTAGTGAGGGAAAGAGTTAGTCAAAGAAAGAGTTAGCAAAGAAACAGTTAGTCAGGGAAAGAGTTAGTCAAAGAAAGAGTTAGTGAGGGAAAGAGTTAGTCAAAGAAAGAGTTAGTCAAAGAAAGAGTTAGTGAGGGAAAGAGTTAGTCAAAGAAAGAGTTAGTGAGGGAAAGAGTTAGTCACAGAAAGAGTTAGCAAAGAAATTGTTCCCTCACTGTAAATGGGATTGCAAGTGGTGCTGGTGGAGGAGTTGCCGATGGAGTTTCGAAGGAAGTCTCGCACGAAATGCGTTTTTGAGAGATAGCAGATGCACGAAACCCTATGTTTTTCCATACAAAGTCCGTCCCCGAACCTCGATGATCTACCTTTGCGGTGCGACGGGTGCGAGACGGTCTCGTGTGTGGTCGGATCATGCTCGGATATGTTCGGATCATCCTCGGATCATTCTCGGATCGGTTCCGCATTGTAAATGGGGTGTCAACTGTTTTTCGTGCATGTGTGGTCGACAGAATTCCATTGTGATTTGCAACTGTAGGATCGTTCCCGCATTGTAAATGGGGTTGTAAGTGTTGCTGGTGGACGAGTTGCTGATGGAATTGCATTGTGATTTGCAACTTTAGGATCGTTCCCTTACTGTAAATGGCATTGCAAGTGGTGCTGGTGGAGGAGTTGCCGATGGAGTTTTGGAGGAAGTCTCGCACGAAATGCGTTTTTGAGAGATAGCAGATGCACGAAACCCTATGTTTTTCCATACAAAGTCCGTCCCCGAACGTCGATGATCTACCTTTGCGGTGCGACGGGTGCGAGATGGTCTCGTGTGTGGTCGGATCATGCTCGGATATGTTCGGATCATCCTCGGATCATTCTCGGATCGGTTCCGCATTGTAAATGGGGTGTCAACTGTTTTTCGTGCATGTGTGGTCGACGGAATTCCATTGTGATTTGCAACTGTAGGATCGTTCCCGCATTGTAAATGGGGTTGCAAGTGTTGCTGGTGGACGAGTTGCTGATGGAATTGCATTGTGATTTGCAACTCTAGGATCGTTCCCTCACTGTAAATGGCATTGCAAGTGGTGCTGCTGGATGAGTTGCCGATGGAGTTTTGAAGGAAGTCTCGCACGAAATGCGTTTTTGAGAGATAGCAGATGCACGAAACCCTATGTTTTTCCATCCAAAGTGCGTCCCCGAACCTCGATGATCTACCTCTGCGGTGCGACGGGTGCGAGACGGTCTCGTGTGTGGTCGGATCATGCTCGGATCATTCTCGGATAATCCTCGGATCATCTTTCGGACGGTCGCATTGTAAATGGGGGGTGTCAACTGTTTTTCGTGCATGTGTGGTCGACAGAATTCCACTGTGATTTGCAACTGTAGGATCGTTCCCGCATTGTAAATGGGGTTGCAAGTGTTGCTGGTGGACGAGTTGCTGATGGAATTGCATTGTGATTTGCAACTCTAGGATCGTTCCCTCAATGTAAATGGGATTGCAAGTGTTGCTGGCGGATGAGTTGCCAATGGAATGCCATTGTGCTTTGCAACTGTAGGATCGTTCCCGCAATGTAAATGGCTGTGTCAAGGTTGCTTCGTGCTGTGGCTGCATTGGTAATACTATTGTCTTTTGCAGCTGGACTTTTTAAATCGTATTGGAGTGGCTGCATGAAGGCTGCGACACTGATTTGTCAGTAGATTTTCTCCATTTTGGCGCTAGTGATTTTCTTTTTAAAAATCCCTTTAAAAAGTGTTTCAAAATCGTTTTTTTTCGCTCTGGCGTCGAGATCCGGTTTTGGAGCTACAATTTCCGACGCCGTTGTGCGTAGTTCTATTGTGTTTTGCAACTCAGTCTCTGCAGATTGCATTGTAGTGGCTGCGTCAAGGTTGCTTCGTGCTGTGGCTGCGTTCGTAATACTATTGTCTTTTGCACCTAGACTTCGTAAATCGTATTGGAGTGGCTGCATGAAGGCTGCGACACTGATTTGTCAGTAGATTTTCTCCATTTTGGCGCTAGCGATTTTCTTTTTAAAAATCCTTTTAAAAAGTGTTTCAAAATCGTTTTTTTTCGCTCTGGCGTCGAGATCCGGTTTTGGAGCTACAATTTCCGACGCCGTTGTGCGTAGTTCTATTGTGTTTTGCAACTCAGTCTCTGCAGATCGCATTGTAATGGCTACGTCAAGGTTGCTTCGTGCTGTGGCTGCATTCGTAATACTATTGTCTTTTGCAGCTCGACTTCGTAAATCGTATTGGAGTGGCTGCATGAAGGCTGCGACACTGATTTGTCAGTAGATTTTCTCCATTTTGGCGCTAGCGATTTTCTTTTTTTAAAAAATCCTTTTAAAAAGTGTTTCAAAATCGTCTTTTTTTTCGCTCTGGCGTCGAGATCTGGTTTTGGAGCCACAATTTCCGACGCCGTTGTGTGTAGTTCTATTGTGCTTTGCAACTCAGTCTCTGCAGATCGCATTGTAATGGCTGCGTCAAGGTTGCTTCGTGCTGTGGCTGCATTCGTAATACTATTGTCTTTTGCAGCTCGACTTCGTAAATCGTATTGGAGTGGCTGCATGAAGGCTGCCACAGTGATTTGTCAGCAGATTTTCTCCATTTTGGCGCTAGTGATTTTCCTTCTAAAAATCCTTTTAAAAAGTGCTTCAAAATCGTCTTGCACAACAACAGTACGTGGTTGGACGACAAAGAGTCGGACGACGAAGTTCTCCGCAGACAATACCGTCATCTCTGGGAAGCTGTGCGGTCCTTTCAACCAGAGTTTGTTGATGCTGAGATGAAGCGCAGACAAGGTCTTGCCGCAGAGGTTTCAACTCTCGTTTGACGGCCGAGGGCTGGGTGTGCGTTGTTATGAACCGCATCCGGGTGTGAATGGCTGTGCTTCAGTAGCTTCGCCTTTCATTTGACCCTGCGAACCGCAGAATGCCTCTGTCACTTGGTTTTGGTTTCTGTGTGCGTTGTTACGAACCGCACAAAAAAACATGATCGTATTGCATACATGTGAAAAAAACATGGTGTCCTGGGAGCGGGTAAATGCAAGGTCCCACTAAGATCCGCTCAATGCTTTATGCAGCATGGGTTGGATTTTTGTAGTTTGTTGAAAGTATGATTTTCTTGACCATTTCCTTTTCCAGACATCAGACCTCAAGCTGGGTGAGATGGTATGTTTCGTGTTTATTTGACCTCTGTTGAATGAGATGGTTGGTTGGGGATCTACAATTTGGATGAGGAAGTGCGTTTCGTATTTCTTGGACCCTAGTTGGTACGTGTAATTGTTTCTTTACTTCGACTATGGGGAATTTCGATCTGTTATATTCACCCTATGATGTTGTCTGGTAGCGGTTGTGTAGTTTCAGCTCTGCAATGTTGCCGCTGCCGTTTGTGTCGGTCATGCATATGTGATCAAATCTATCAGCAAGACCTAAATCATATTATGTCATGTTTTGAATCATCACATGTTTTTTTAAGGCATGCATCATGGAGTTTGCAAGGGACACCCGACGTGCGACGTTACGGTCCGCGTTGGCTAACATATGTGTAGCAGCATGTTGGATATATAGGTGGAAAAATAATTTTCGTAAGTATTGTTGAGTGATTAATTACCATTGTCCGATCCCTGTAGTTCACCACTACAACCACGTGGCCTCTCACAAGACACGCACGCGGGTATGCAGTTATGTGCTGCCTGTGTCGCACATGTTATCTTTGAGGATGGGACGCAGACGCCACGGTTGCACAAGCCAAGCGTAGTTTAAGTAATAAATTCCCATAGTCCGATCCCTGTAATTCACCACTATAACCACTTGACTTTGCACAGGCATTGGATGGCCATGTGTTGTGCATGACGTGCTGGTCGCTGATGGGTCAAGGACACCATCAGCGATTGGGATCGACTCTCGCTTGACTGCCAAGGGCTGGGTGTGCGTTGTTATGAACCGCATCCGAGTTTGAATTGCTGTCCTTCAGTAGATTCGCCTTTCATTTAGCCTTGCGAACCGCAGAATGCCTCTGTCACTTGCTTTTGGTTTATGTGTGCGTTGTTACGAACCGCACAAACAACCATGATCGTATTGCATACATGTGAAAAAACAAAGCTGTCATGGGAGCGAGTCAATGCAAGCTCTCACTGAGATCCTCTCAATGCCTCGTGCAGCATGGGTTGGAGTTTTGTGGTTTGTTGAATGTATGACTTTCTGGGCCATTTTTTTTTCAGACATCAGACCCAAAGCCCTAAAGGTTGCTTCGTGCTGTGGCTGCATTTGTCATACTATTGTCTTTTGCAGCTCGATCTCGTAAATCGTATTGGAGTGGCTGCATGAAGGCTGCGACATGGATTTGTTAGCAGATTTTCTCCATTTTGGCGCTAGTGTTTTTTTGTTGCACGTAGGTTTAGAGCAGTGTGAAGTGTGGGGCGTGAAGAGTGCAGTGTGAAGTGTGCAGTGTGAAGGAAGCAGTGGGAAGTGAGAAGTGTGAAGTGTGGAGTGTGAAGTGTGAAGTGTGGAGTGTGAAGTTTAAGTTTGGAGTGCGAAGCGCGCAGTGTGAAGTGTGAAGTGTGAAGTGTGAGGTTTGGAGTGTGAAGGAAGCAGTGAGAAGTGTGAAGTGTGGACTGTGAAGTGTGAAGTGTGAGTGAAGTGGGGGGTGTGAAGTGCGAAGTGAGAAGTGTGAAGTGTGAAGTTTGGAGTGTGAAGTTTGGAGTGGGAAGGAAGCAGTGAGAAGTGAGAAGTGTGAAGTGTGGACTGTGAAGTGTGGAGTGTGAAGTGCGAAGTGCGAAGTGTGAAGTTTGGAGTGTGAAGGAAGCAGTGAGAAGTGAGAAGTGTGAAGTGAGAAGTGTGAAGTGTGGACTGTGAAGTGTGGAGTGCGAAGAGCGAAGCGTGAAGTGTGAAGTGTGAAGTGTGAGGTTTGGAGTGTGAAGGAAGCAGTGAGAAGTGTGAAGTGTGGACTGTGAAGTGTGAAGTGTGAGTGAAGTGTGGAGTGTGAAGTGCGAAGTGAGAAGTGTGAAGTGTGAAGTTTGGAGTGTGAAGTTTGGAGTGGGAAGGAAGGAGTGAGAAGTGAGAAGTGTGAAGTGTGGACTGTGAAGTGTGGAGTGTGAAGTGCGAAGTGAGAAGTGTGAAGTTTGGAGTGTGAAGGAAGCAGTGAGAAGTGAGAAGTGTGAAGTGAGAAGTGTGAAGTGTGGACTGTGAAGTGTGGAGTGCGAAGAGCGCAGCGTGAAGTGTGAAGTGTGAAGTGTGAAGTTTGGAGTGTGAAGGAAGCAGTGAGAAGTGAGAAGTGTGAAGTGAGAAGTGTGAAGTGTGGAGTGTGCAGTGTGGAGTGCGAAGAGCGCAGTGTGAAGTGTGAAGTGTGAAGTGTGAGGTTTGGAGTGTGAAGGAAGCAGTGAGAAGTGTGAAGTGTGGACTGTGAAGTGTGAAGTGTGAGTGAAGTGTGGAGTGTGAAGTGCGAAGTGAGAAGTTTGGAGTGTGAAGTTTGGAGTGGGAAGGAAGCAGTGAGAAGTGAGAAGTGTGAAGTGTGGACTGTGAAGTGTGGAGTGTGAAGTGCGAAGTGAGAAGTGTGAAGTTTGGAGTGTGAAGGAAGCAGTGAGAAGCGAGAAGTGTGAAGTGAGAAGTGTGAAATGTGGAGTGTGAAGTGTGAAGTGCGAAGTGAGAAGTGTGGACTGTGAAGTGTGAAGTGTGAAGTGTGGACTGTGAATTGTGAAGTGTGAAGTTTGGACTGTGAAGTGTGAAGTGTGCAGTGTGAAGTGTGAAGTGTGAGGTTTGGAGTGGGACGGAAGCAGTGAGAAGTGAGAAGTGAGAAGTGTGGAGTGTGAAGTGTGGAGTGTGAAGTTTGGAGTGCGAAGAGTGCAGTGTGCAGTGTGAGGTGTGAGGTGTGGAGTGTCGAGGGAAGGACACGGTCGGGACAGGTTGTCTTTGAACTATAGGTCATTTATGTTTGGGAAACTTCCGCCGCCGGCTTGCCCGGGTCTATGTTAGAGTCATAATGTTTTATACCAACCACGGTCATATTGGGGGTTTATAATTGGGCTGAATTAGCATTGCACCTATTTTTGGGTGGTTAATAGCGGTGAATGGTGAATCTTGTGGAGTTTTGGAGCATTGTGACTCCGCCTTGACAAACGCGGCAGCTGACTGCTTCGCAGCTGCAACCTCCAAGGGCTATATAAGGTTCTGCTTGGAGAGCCGCAAAAAAAAAACTGGGTGGTGGTTCTTGCCTATTCCTGAGATTTTTTGGGGTTGGTCATCACCATCCCAGGATGGTAAAAAATGAAATTATTGCCTGCAATGGCACATACCTGAACGACATTCCTGTTCAACATATGCATTTGTCGTGACAAATGCAGCTCTTGCTATGAGATGCGCACACAATGTCCGTCCTCGAACAGCCAAAAGCTGCCACGCAGCCCAGAGGCCCAAGGCCCTGAAGGCTCGAGAGCTCAACAGGACCCTCCAAGGATCTGGCCATCTGCACTGAACGTGACTCGGAGATAGCACCAGCCTGACAGCTGACGGAGACTTTGACAACTTTGACAGGGCCTGACACAGTCCGCAAAACGCCTAAACCACATACAGAATAGGACAAAACAGAATTGCCAAGAATTACCCAAAACTGAGTGGGCTCCAACCAATTCTTCATGAAATCACCAGCCATTTCCAGCCATGAAACCTGGTTCCCCTTGTCGCCACCGGACTTCCAGACCTCCATCAGCGCGCCAACGCCGCACTGCCTCATCTCCTGTTCGACATCTGATGCCGAGAGGAGACCCGCCTCGGGATGTGCTGCAGAGGCCCTGCAAAACCTGTGGTTAGCCTCTGGTAAACATACAAAAAACGATGGAAAATCACCATTTTTCATGGGAAAATCTACTATAAATGGGCCATTTTCAATAGCTATGTTAGTTTACCAGAGGGTATCTGTGGTTGTGTATTGAATCTGTCCATTTTTCACGACAAAAAAAAGGCCTGCTGTCTAGTTGTCACTGGGAGGATGTGAATAAGGTCTGCCGAGTCCAGCTATAGCCTCTTTTTCCAGCAGCAGCCGCGTTCAGGCCACACAGCGCCTGATACACACTGTGGCATCTTTGTCCGCAGGGCTAGTAGAAGGTCTGCCTCACTGCTGGTTCACCATTTGCATTGCCTCCGCTGAAGAACCGGAAACACCAGACCCTTGGTGTTTCAGTTGGGTATGAGCCCCTGGCATCCTGCAGACTAGCTAATTAGCTGGATGTTACAACACTCCATTCCGATCGTCCACTAGGTACTGGCGCATCCAAAATTATATGGGAAGAATATGGAAAATAACTTTTTAGTGAAGGATGACACGAAGAACCCTAGCGATCCCCGGGGGTCTGCTGACAAAAAAGGCAATGCAAAGTAAGAATGCCACATATGTAACAGGGTGAGAGATGTCACCCTGGCACTCTGCAAGACATGGCTGAATAGACTGCTCAGACTAGATGAACAGAATAGCCTCTTTCAGCATCCCTATGGAAAATCACCATCTTAACAGGTAAACCATGGTAAACCATCTAGAAATAGGCCATGGTTTCCATAGCTATACTAAATTACCAGATGGTAACAACAGATCGGGGGGTTCTTAAAATGGTGCTCTCAATGATGGAAAATCACCCAGCCTGGTGTCTGTTTCGCCTCGCTGGCCGGGTAGCCTACAGAATCCACCGCTTTGATGTGCGAAGTTCACCAAGATATCAGATATGGTCAAGATATCATTACGATATCATCAAGATACTATCAATCAAGAGACCATCAAGAGATCATCAAGAGATCATCAAGATATCAAGACATACCAAGATATGCTAAGACTAAGAGATCATCAAGATATCATCAAGCTATAGCAAGATCAACTATCACCAGCTATATGCAAATATCACCAATGATCATCAAATACCAAGGGAATCGTCACAAGCATCGACGCCTCGCCCAGCGCCATTGCTGGAAATGCCCGTGCTCCCCAAGGTGCCCCGTAGCCTTAATGTTGATATACCAGGAGGGAAGATCAACATGCAAGACTGGTAGAAAGTGCAGTTTATCCATATGGATGTGTTATGATTATGCACACATGCTATATATATATATATATATACATAATTATACAAATGTATATACAGATGTATATGCATGCGTGTGTTCTTGGATACATCTATACATATACATATATATATATATGATTATATATATATGTGTGTGTGTGTGTTCATTTGTTTAGTTGCATACTGTAGCACTGTGTGTCTGTGTGTGCACACCTTAGTCCTGTGAAAATCAGCCGCGCAGTTCACTCGGTGCTCGACGCAGCTTTGTAATTCTCCGGGATGGCCTCGACGAACCGCATCGAACCGCATCGTACCCTCTGGAAATTTGACTTTGCTATGGCAAACAGCATGAAAATCACCATTTTCAATGGGTAAATCGAGGCACAAAAGGCCATTTCCCATAGTTATGTTGAATTAATATGGTAAAATTCATCAACTCCTCTTGAAGTTGGTGAGGCTTTGTATCTTCAGTCAATGTGATGTAGGAAACATGCAGCAGTTCTCGCACTCGTATTGATGCAAATGTCATGTACATGTCACATTGAGCGTGCGTGCACATGTCATATATATATAATCCTAACTACATGTGCACGCACCATATGTCCATTATATAACTATATAACTACTATATAATAATAGATGTTTATATGTATATATTATAATCCTAATTACATATTATCCATCCATCCATTCATCATATACTCGCCTTTATGCATTCATTATGTGATCTCGTGTCTTTATTCTCACGATGCAAATGTACATTTAAAAAAAACAAGATAGACATGTACATTTGCATATATGTAAGAAATATGTTGCTTTGATATATTTAATCATATTTAATTTCTATGTATATATAGATGCATTAATAGATGATATATATATATATATCATGATATCTCAACCTTTCCCGCCATACGTCCAGTATGCCACATCGCCTCCCCGATGTTTCGATCAAGTTCCCGAAGCTGCCGAGCGTTGATGGAGAGAACGTGGTGTTTCGCCTTATCAAGGCCCACTTGTTTTCCCAAAAAAAACACCACTGGAAATTCTGGGCATTTTTAGATATTTTTGTACCACAATTTGAGGGATATTACATGATATTACTGTAGATGATATATGATGATACTAGGATTTACCAATCCAATTTTTGGGGGGGAACCGAAATTTCGACCCATCCGATCCATCCCCATTTTGGGGATCTGAGAATTCCCAAAAGACCAATCATGTTTTCAGTTTTATGTATCTATGATATATAGCATGCATGTACATACATATTATACAGGTGTATGATGGTGTATATATAGATATTTACATATATACGTGTGTGTGCGCGCGCACGATTATGTATAGTATAGTCAACTAATCGAATGATTCTTGTTCAAAATTGTTCCTAACCCTCCCAACCACTTTCCCAAGACACGCCCTTAAGGCGCATGCATCTGTGGGATCCCATCTGGCATCCAAGCGCCTGTCATGGGCTCGGACCCAGCTGCATGCGGATTAAATTGGAAGGTCCTGGCATCCACAGATTGATTGGTTTTCTTTGTTACGAAACTTTCCTAAATGTTCATGAGCATACAGTGAAGTACATTTTTTTTGTGTTCATATCTGTTCCATTGTTGGGTGTCCAAGTTTGATGCATACCCTGCACTAAAGTAACACAGCTATGGACAATCGCCATAGGTAAATCATCAAACTCCATGGGCCGTCAGCCCTCCCGCCTCAGCCAGTGACGCCAGTCGTCATGACCCACCCGCACCTTCGCAAACCCAAGGGGCGATTGAAACCTGGATCCCCCTCATCTCATCCTTTATACCCTCTGGTAAACTAACATAGCTATTGAAAATGGCGCAAAAAAAAGTGGATATTTACCCATAAAAAAAGGTGATTTTCCATAGTTACGTTAGTTTACCAGAGGGTAAATATCACACAAAATCCACCACGAAAGCATGGGTTGTGGTGGCTTCCCAAATCTGAGTGCTGGACTGAGATCTGTGGATGTCTTGTGGCAAACTGGACCAGCGCGCCAGTGCAACTGCGGCATTTCCCCCCATGAGGACATCAAAGCGAAAGCCACTTTTTTGTGTCCTGAACCGAGTAGAAAACAATACATATTTGGGGAAAATCGATTGGTTAAATATGGATGTGTCTAAAGAAAACAACAAATAATTGGATCAACATGGATCAAGTGTGCATGCATACGTGCGTATATTATACATAATATATATATATATATGTATGTATGTGTGTGTGTGTATGTGATTATATATGTATGGTGTGTGTAAGAATCTATACTATACATTACGTATATATCTACACATTGCTCTATGTACTTGTCTTTGTGCGTGTGTCACATAGTACATCCAAAGCTGACAACTCTGACGCACCTGGAGCATGGATAGTGCGGAACAAAAAGTTCCACCCAGCCAGTGACTTGGCTTGAAGTTGCCTGGAGGGGTCGGGCTTGGACCTTCTCCCAACTGGGGACCGACCAACGACGGGCCTCTGTTCAAAGGTCACGAAAAAGATTGTCATCAAGGGATCTTGTTGTGATCATCATCACCATCATCGTCGTCGTCGTCGTCCTCCTCATCCTCATCCTCATCATCATCATCATCATCATAATATTTATGTTCATGTTCATGTTCATGTTCATGTCTTGTTCATGTTCATGTTCATGTCTTGTTCATGTTCATCATGTTCATGTTCATTTTCACCTTCATCATTTTCACCTTCATCATTTTCACCTTCATCATTTTCACCTTCATCATATTCACCTTCATCTTCGCCACCATCATCATCACCACCGCCACCACGATCATTTTCACGATCAGCGGCAGCAGCAGCAACAGCATCATCGGAAACTGTCTCTGTCATCGCAGTGCTTCTTGAAATCGATGTGCACTTCGCAGTGTGTATATATCGCATCTGTGTATGGTACATGTAGGTTTCCCATCCAATTCAGCCCCATGCCACTGTGCAATTACTGTGTTTCTGCCAATCGCTTCCAATCACTTGCAAATCTTGCAATATAGCTTTTCAGAGACCCAAATGAGCAGTGTTCAAGCTAGTGGGTAATCCCCAACAAAAACATGGGTACCGGGCACCCGGAATAACTAATCCCCAAACGAATCATCCACCAACAGGGCTATGGCGCCCACTGGGCCCAGCCTGCATCTCCGCGATTGCTTCAACCACCTGCGACAGCGCCGTCACTTCCGCATGGTGCTTGCGTTGGTAGTCCCTTAACCTAAGCTTTTCGGCGGAGCCATGGAAACATGTTTCCAGCCGCAGCAGCCCCGATTGGTTGCCACGTGACGTGGCAGTCTTCATGCCAAAGCCAGGCTCGTCATCATCTGGCATGGCATGGTCCTGCACAGCATAGCAACATCGGAGTACCAAACCCTGCCGTGCCTTCAACAAATCAGGGGACGACAGGCGAAAAACCAGGACCCTATGTGTTTGCAAGCCTTTCAGCAGACCTAAGTCATTCGTCACCGCTTGCCGTTCAAGTCACGGCCAGTCCGCACACATTTTGTCTCGCTCGATCACCGCTCAGCACAGCCGTATCATCCTCTCCCCCGGCAGTTTGGGTGTGTCTGAAAATGGGCTACCCGGGCACCCCATTCCATCCAGAGGTTCACCAGCTTCCCAGTGGATGGTTTTCCTATTCAAAAACGCCCTGTTTGGATGTTGGGATATACCGGTGGTTGCATCCTTGCGGAGTGGGCCAACCACTCCACGTAGGCCACTGGGCCATTGGGCCATGGTCATCCAGTCACCAGAGCCTGCTAAGTCAAACAAGATAGACATGGACATCCATTTTGGATCCATGTTCTGCCACAGCAAAATGATCCAGAAACTCTAGATGTTCAATGATTTTCCATGGGTTTCCACATCTATCTTGCTTTGCCGAAGGGTAGATGCCACAATAACTCTCTACCCGAGTGAGACCGGCTCTGCTTGCTTCTTCGGCAGACAGAGCGGGCGCAGCCAACCGAATGCGGCGTGAGACTTCAACGAGCGTCGTCTTATACTTGGGTATGTCTGAAAATTGTGTTTACCCCAAAAGGATCCTCTTTACACGTAGTGATATGATGCTTAACCAGTGGAATTTGAGATGCCCCATGCTCAGACAAACTCATTCCTTCTATGGGACTGGCTCCAAAGGATTGGGATCCCACCTGACAGCCGCTGATCAAATACAAATATCACCACCACCCCAAGAATCTGTGCTGTTCCGTGAACTTGGAGGTTGTCGCTCCTATCAGATGATCAATGCTGAGCGGATCATAACATCCCATCGGTGATTGGTCTTGCTACATGAGGCTGGTTTATGTTGGGTGAGGAGTCCCACCGGAGTATGACATTCCCCATTAATTACCATCTGGTTAATTAACATAGACATGGAAGCCATGGCCCATTTATAGATGGTTTACCTATTAAAAATGGTGATTTTCCATGGCTATGTTAAATAACCAGAGGGTATTGGTGAGTAAAATCGACCAGAAATCATGGCTTCTTTCGCTTCGCTTCAACCGGAAATCACGCTTGGCACATCAAAGGGCACGTCTCGCCAGCGGAAGCCTCCGCCAAGGCAAGTCGAGATGGAAGTCGAGACGGGCAGGGGCCAGCAGCTGGAAATGGGATGATTCAGTAACTCCACTGTAGTAACCTCCAAAAAGAAGAAAAAAAATGGAAAAGATTCGCTGTTTTTGGTAGGACTTTTCTATCTTTTTGCGGGATGCTATAGGCTTGTCTGCCAAACAAAGTGGTGATCTGTTTCACCCGTCACCCAGTTGTAACTAGCATAGCCCCTCGCTGTGGTCCCTGTTTCACCTTGCCACGGCATCATGGCGAGGATGGCCTGACCATCAGCGTCGTCTGAAAGTCCAAAACAGCCATAGGCTTCCACTTCCCAGGGAGCACGTCCTTCCAACATTCGCCTCAGCCGCATGCTGCCACGGCTAAAAGTGGCACCACGGCAACCCGCATAAAAAGCGGCACCTTGTTCGGAATCTCCTGTTGATCAGAATGGAAATCCAGTTTCAACCACATGATTTCCCAGCCATCGGCCGATTTCTTCATGGCAGATATGCTCCAGGCTCCAAGTGAAAGATGCTGCCACCAGGGCTGAGCCCAGGCGCATGTTGATTAAATGTGTGGATTGTGAAGGAAGAACTCCAGGAAGTAGAGCAGGATCTGCCATTTCCTTGCCTGAAGCCGAAGCCTCGCGAAATTGACATGCTGCGGTGGTACAGCGATGCGTCAGCGATGCGTCCACGTGAAACGAAAAGCCACCGGCAAAACAATGGCGCGACATGTTCATGTCTCTTAGGCCATAAGTTTACTAGCCTGGAAATTGACAGGTTTATCTTCACCTCACAGGAGGGAAAGGACATTTCAATACAAGAGCTACTAGTGAAGCAATGAAAAGGGTAACATGCTGAAAAAGAACTGTCAACTATGAAAGGAAACATCAGGTAGATGCAACCCCTTACCGGCCCCAGAGTTCCCACACCTTTCGGCTTGTTCTTGGCTGCCGTTTCCTCAGATCCACTGAAGCACCCTGCACAACACCAGAAGGTCTGAACCACGTCTCACTGGCACCGCTAGCTGAATTGCCATCCAAAGAGCCGACAGCAACAGAGGGTGCGTGGAGTAAACTTCTCGGGATCTCTCCATGAATAGCCTACGCGAAATTTCATGAAAATTCCCTCAAATCTCGGTGGCGGCACAGTGGAACCATCTGCTTCATTGCTGCAGAAGGGGAACTTTTTAGAGTAGCTTAGCAGTTTCCGATCCATGCAGCCGCTCACTTTACAAATATCAGTGACCTGTATCATCCTGTTCGTCCATAGTCACCAGCCTTCAGACCAATCTGATGCCGTCTGCTCAATGTACAAACCTTGGGTCAAAATGCGGCAGCGACTGGCAGCCCAAAACATGATGTGGCCAATTTTGCCATCTTGCATCCATGGAGCTGTCCCAAAGCAAGCAAACCAAAAAGACCGACCTTGGCAACTGCTGGATACTGCTGGCCTTGGTGGCCTCTGTGGTCCCTGGGGTCTTCAATTTTTGCCCCATCCCCTTGCGGTTTCCAACTGCAGCTTGGCTTCGTAATCATGTCAACGGTGTAGTGGAAGCGCGCTGCTGCCACCATGACCACCTCTACCACGACACAAATACAGCAAACCACCCCAACCTCAGAAAGGCAGGAGATGGCAGGAGGTTGGGATGGCTGACGACCTCAGGTACGAGTACTTGGGTGTGTCTGAAAGTGGTGCATAAACCATTGGATTTTGGCAGCCCATAGCGACTTCCAAGAAGGGTCAAGCCAAGTTGGTGTATAACCCGATCAAACTATAGATACCCCCTGGTACTTAAACGTAGCGAACTGGAAAATCACCGTTCTTTTTTTGGTAAATCATCATGGTTATCATCTATGGGCAGAGTAAAGAGGGTACATCCACCAATTTTGAAATAACCAAATATTAAATATGATGATAAATCATCATTAATTATTTAAATCGTCTTCTCCCCATATCTTAAATAACCAGAGGGTACATCCCTGGCATGCAGCTACGGCACCAATCGCTGCACCTGACGTGGAAAACGACGCCAGAAACGCGCAGAACTGAGGGACCATCCCAAGATCAGAGTCGTAAAAACCTGTCCAAATAAATGCATAGACACATAAACTATAATATAATACTTAATAGGCTAATGAATAATGAGAATAATAATCATAACAATGAAAGCGATGATAAGAATGAAACCAGTGAACCACACATGTTTGGCAAAAAAAACCTGCCAGGTAAAGACCAAGTATCCTTGGCAGGCATGTCAATGGCTCCCGTAAGCTTGTAAGCAGCCAGAGAAAATAATGCAGCGAAATACCTCGGCCGAAGCTGCGGAAAAGTGGAACGGATTGAAAAACTGCAGGTTCTGTCTGTGGGTACTTTCAAACAACGAAAGCAACTGCTCGGACAAAGGTCGATTTCCATCAATTTACAACATGCAAAATCCACCTAAACTTTCGCCAAGTCAAGGTGCGTGTGTCCGGACAGCATCATATCCTCGGGCACCGAGACAACTCCCAGCCAAAACTCAACAAATGAATATATTTAAACTACATATCAATAGATGCCCTTTGGGTGTGCACATGTTCTTGTGCGTAGATGGAACCATATGAACCATGGTTTAGTATAATTAGCGTGCCCCAGTCAGGATGTTCCCGGCATGGATTGGTTCAACGGAAACTGGCGGCCAGTTTGTGTTTCCAATTTCAGACGTGTTTCCAAGATGATGGGGCTGCTTTCTCCACAGTAAAAACACACCTCTTGTTTCCCAGAATTCCCATTGGATCTATATTACCTACACTATTCCAGTACCTACCATCCCAGTGAGACTCTCCACCGACTTTTTCGCAGAGCGTCAGCACAGTAGCGAATGCGCTTGCCATCGACACCGATCACTTCATCCACCACGGCCTCGCGGAGAAAGATTGTTTTTTATGCTGCGGTGAGCGCCATGGTAACCATGGACCATAGTACGTAGCCATACTACTGTAGACCCTAAAGATCTTCCAGTTAATGACACTCTGGAGTCCTTTGGAGGTCTCAATAGGTTTCTGCAATCTTCACAGCTGAATGGATGCAAGCAGCTTGCCCAAAAATGACAATTTGTTGCATCAAATACACGAAAAATGGAATGGGAAAACATACGGCACCTGCGACATGCTTCCCCAGAAGTCGGTGAAGAAATGTCGGTCTTTCATTTTCCTCGGAGCACCCCATGGGCCACTTGGAGGATTTTCAAGGGATCGCACCTGCTTGATCAGCCTGGGTCGATGTCGTAATTGGATAATCCCACTTAGATGTATGACCTGTGTAATGTTATTGCATGATGTAGCGTCGTAGCATATGGTATTTGTACATGTTTTCCATTCCACTGCATTGAGTCACCTCGCGGGGTCATGCGAGTCCTGAAAAATCAAAAAGTTGTTTGCACGTACATGTACTGATATGTATATTATATTATATTATTATGTTTTACCCTGCAGTTAATTGACATGGCCATGGAAAGATGGATCGCCTTCCGAAAGGAAAACCATCTTTAGCGCAAATCTATGCTAGTTGACCCCAGGGTGTGTGTGTATATATATATGTGTGTGTGTTTATAACATGTTGCATGCATATATATATATATACATATATATTTAACTATATCTATACTATATATATATATGTGTGTGTGTGCGTTTGTCTATCTATCAATTTATGTATATATGTTATCTATTTATTTATTATTCATTGATGTTATTGGTTTTAGTTTACTTACTTATTTATTATGCTTATTTATTTGTTTACTTCTTTATTGAATTATTTATCTATTTGTATTTCTCTCTCTCTCTCTCTCTGTCCGCGTGCGTGTGTGCATGTGTATGTTGGTGTGTGTGAGAGTGCATGGTCATTATTGTTATTATTGTGTGTTACCATGGGCATTATTAGCATGATCACTGTCTCATTGTCATGTTTACTAGTGTCATCGACGTTTTACATAACATATACCCTCCGGTAATCAAACATGGCTTGCTGGAAAATAACACGGCAATAGTTCCGTGACCTTCCTAGCTACAAACCTCCATTTAGCGCGGGGGTTTGCCAGCCAGCCACGTTTGATGACACCGGAGGGTATTCTTAGCCATTCTGAACCACTATTAGCCATTATTCGTCCATCATCAATGCTTTTTACAACAACGCGACTATCCACCACTATCAGCCATTATTAATCCATCCCTTTAGCCATTCTTTAGCCACTATTACCAACGAATAATCCATAAATGGACGAATTATGGAATACTTCAACAACCATTACACACTATTACTAGCATATTTTAACCATTCTCAAGCATTCTGAACCATTATTGGCCACTATTAACCATTGCTCATCCGACCCCAACGGGAATCTGAGCTCCGTGCTCAAACGCTTCGGGGCTCAGCCGCTCTTTGCACCTGAGACGTTCAGCATCTCGGCGCGAAAAAAAAGGAACTGAAGAAAACACACATCCTATGGGAATATATTCGGATACTGGGATGTCAAAGACATTACAATCTATGTATATATATATATATGTGTGTGTGTGTGATTATATATGTGATTATATATGTGATTATATATGTGTATGTATCTATATATGTGTGTGTGTAAGCGCGTGTGTGTGTGCATATATGTATGTGTTATTGTAACACACTTGTTAAAATAAAAATGCCTGTGTAGCACGCTTATACCTATGTGATATGGAGATGGTATTATTTTGATTTACATCCATGCATGTAGATTTTACATCTAACTCATACACAGCTAAAGAGACTTAAATACATCACACAGAATACACATATAACTTGTTGTATACATCTGGTGCAGTCTATCAACCCCCGATTGTTCAGCCGGCGCCTTCCTAAGAACTGACATTTGGGAAGTATATCTCCCCCTGATTATGGGGCCCTGTGCCGCCCCCTGTTTATGGGGGCCCCGGAAATGCCAGTTCTGCTGGTGATAGTAGCCCAGACAATAAGTTTTCCTGTAGATCATATGCCGTGAGCCAAGCCTCCTCAAAGAGATAAACTACCCGCAAAGCCTATGCATTCTGGAGGGGTGCTGCCGCTATTGAAAAAAGAGGCTTGGCACAAAGGTTTGGAAGTTTGTCTGGGACCTCCAGTGGCGCACGCTTCAAAATACATTGAAATACCAAGTTCAATTTGGGAAAGCTAAGCATGCAAACTTTGAGGGACAAGACCTGTATCAACCGTCTGGAAACAAAATTGCATCATCAATTGCCTGGTGGCTTGCTGCGTATCCCTCGCAAAAAAAATAAACCTTGCCAATTGGAATCATCATCCATCATCTCATATTTCTCCATATATGGAAAGGAACACACACATACAAATATATATATATATTTATTTATTTATTTATCTATCTATTTATGTATGTATGTATTTATTTATCTAGTTGGTTACTGTAGTTAGTTAGTCCGTCAGTTAGTTATTCATTTAATTATTCATTTATTTGATTATTTGTTCATTTGTTCATTAATTTATTCATTTCATTTTTTATCAATGAATGTATAATTATCATCTGAAAATTATAAAGCCAACCTAAGTTCTCCAGCATCCTCTCCTGCAATCCTTCAGGGCCAAGGTTCTGCTTCCAGCCAATGGAATCTGGCAAAATGGTCACCACATCCAGGATGCCCTTCATCACAGCCATACCTTAGATCTAATATGAATTTTGGATGAAAATTGCAAGGGAATCTTGTGGAAAATCTATTGGAAACCATGTGTTTTTTTTTCACGGAAATAGAGAGAGGAAATCATGGATGTGACCCATCAAAAATGCCCTAAATCTAGGGGATTGCCAGAGGTGTCCTTTCCCTGGGAGTAGAATGGATTAGATATGATTATATAGATGCCAGCTCTGCAGCTGTGGACAACACCATCGCCATGCAGCCCAATGACAGCAGGCAATGAGGTATGTCTTGTACCACAGGCCGACGTGGAACCTGCCCTTGTAGTAGGAAAAAAGGAAGGCAGACCTAGAGCACATCTGATTTCATCACTCTCATCTGGAGCTTTCCTAAAATGGGGGCCCCAAATCATCCAAGTCATTAGACCATTTTACGGTTGAAACCCATGGTGACTTGGGGATCCTCCATTTCAAGAAACCCATGAATCTGATCAGCGCAACTGTTGCAACAAAAGCCACAAAGGACAACTGGTAGCCATGAAGATACTGCAGCCCCTGAGGCGCAAGCGTGCAAAGTGCCGCAGGTATCGCACCTGCACGGCTGGAATGCCGAAACCATGACATCATTTGAGCAGCTGAAACTATGAATGTGGTAAACCCATGTGAACCCAATCAACCTTCCCCAATTCATCACCATGTTTATCAGTGGTATGTTTACCATCCCCAGTTGTGGTAGTTGTGGCAGCCAGGGTTGCCCACATTACACAGTAGACCTCTCACTTGCCGGGAGCAATAGCCTGAGAGGTCCAGTATGCTCATGGGAATGCGAACATTGCCATTGCGGACCTCGCACTGGGAGGTCAGTGGTGGCAGGTTTCTAGTCCACAAGTTTCTATTGGGTATCCCCTTATGACTGGGATGATGTAAAATGACCCCTAAATGCTTGGTTGATGTGGTTCATTGGATGGTTCATTATTGAGTTTACCACATTTTTCTGTTACTCACGCAGCGGAAATCTGGACCAAAAGTGATGTGAATTGAACGAGTGCCTTCCTGAAAGAGAAAACAATCTCCGCTGAAAAAGACTGGCCTACACAGCACATGACATGGTTGACAAAGGTCAACCCTCTGGCCACCCTCGTTTTTCACATCCCCCAGACAAACGACCAAACAAACAGCAAAAGAAAGTCAAATAGAGTACCCTCCAGTACACTGACATGGCTATGGAAATCCACGGTTGTTTCCTGTTCGGGAATGATCTACTTTCACATGTATTTTTATTTGTGTTAGGTTCCTATCAACTATATCCTCATTTGAATCATCATACCCCAAAATAATGCTAGTAGTACATGTGTGTGTGTGTGATAAAAGACCTGCATTTTGATGGTTTCAGACCCCCCAATTAGCAGATGTCAATCATTGATGGCTAGTCCCCATACGGGTCTATCTTGGGATGTTCACCACCATGGCTGCTGCCGCCAGGCTACAGCTTCCTCGCTGGCTTCAGTTTCGTTCCCATGGGCAGCTGCCCTCAGGATCGGAAGCTTTTTGGATGGTGAAGGACATGTGTTTTTGCTTTGATGTTGTTATCTATTTTGGCCATATCACATATCTATCTATCTATCTATCTATCTATCTATCTATCTATCGATCGATCTATCTATCTAGCTATCGATCTATCTATCTATCTATCTATCTTATCCTATCCTATCTTATCTTATCTTATCTTATCTATCTATCTCTCTGCCTGCCTGCCTGCCTGTCTGTCTGTCTATCTATCTATCTTTCTATCTATCTGTAAAACGTTATGGTTTATAACTACATAACCCACATAACTATAGGTGTTTAAAAGTGTTTTCAGCATTTTCGCACATTTCTTGGCGGACCCAAAGCCATCCCTTTGCCAAAGCTTCAGCGCAACGGTTCTGGCCACCAAATCGAACAGCTCGCCGCCTGCGTTGGGGGCCCGGTGGCATCCCATGCTGTGATGATGCCATTCATAAGGGGCACCAGGGATCCCCAACTATCAACCCAAGCCACAACTCAACATTTGGCTTATCAAAACTTGTGCATATTATGTGTACATAAATATATATATATACTGTGTGTGTGCAAGTGTGTTAACATTCTGTACGCATAGATATGATATATATATATACTTGTGTGTATATGTGTGTGTGTGTCTGTAAGTATGTAAGTGTGCAAATATGAAAGTATGAAAGAGTGAGAGTATGTAGTGTGCATATATGTAAGCATGAAAGCATGTAAGTATGTGAGTGTGCGCATTTACTGTATGCAAGTATGTACGTATGTAAGTATGTAAGTATGTAAGTATGTAAGTAAGTAAGTAAAGTAAAGTAAAATAATAAAGTATGTATGCACGTACGTCCATACGTACGTACGTGTGTGTGTGTATCCTTGTATTGTTCTATGTGCCTATATATCCACGTATCTATCTATCTATCTATCTATCTATCTAATCTAATCTAATCTACAGTAATCTAATCTATCTATCAGTTATCTATCTATGTCCGCATGTTTCTGCATGTCTGTATGTCTGTATGTCTCCATGTCTGTGTGTCTGCATGCCTATATGTCTGCATGTCTATAATTGTCTGTATGCCTGCATGTTTGTTTGTATGTATGTATGTCTGTATGTCTGTGTGTTTGTTTGTATGTCTGTATGTATGTCTGTATGTATGTCTGTATGTCTGTCTGTATGTCTGTATGTCTGTTTGTCTGTATGTCTGTATGTCTGGATGGGTGGATGGATGGATGGATGCATGCATGCATGTATGTAGCCGTATGTAACCGTATGTAACCGTATGTATGTATTTATGGATGTATGGATGCATGCATGCATGCATGCTTATGTATGCTGCATGTATGCTGCATGTATGCTGCATGAATGACAGAGAGAGGATGGATGGATTATCTGATCGACTGATTGACTGATTCGCTGGTTGACTGATTGACTGATTGACTGACTGACTGATTGATTGATTGATCGATTGATTGATTGATTAGTTGAAAGATTGAAAAACTGATAGATTGACACATTGATAGATTGTATAGAGTGATAGATAGCGATAGGCTTGATCGGATTCGATTCCATTCGATTTCATTCGGTTCCATTTGATTTGCCCCTCTCTATTCTCAAGGCTTCTCTACTTGCTAGTCTTCTGTACTCTGGTCTTTTCTCTGCTCTTCACAACATTTCACAACTACTTCAGATCTTCCATTCCTCGGAAATGTCTATTCTAAACTTCCTTTGATCGTTACATACCCAATTTTGGGCTGTCTCATCCCCTCCCCCTTTCATGAACCCCCTCCAGCAAACCCTAGTTTTGTGTTGGATCTCTGTCTTTGGGTTTCTTCATTGTTTATCGTGAAGGGAATTCCCTGCCTTGTGTGACGGGAAACTTTCTGGAAGCCAATAACCGTTCAATAACCTCACTTGGAGGAAACAAGAAGCATTCCATAGGATTTCTATGGATTTCTATTCTTCATCATGGTACTGATGCTCCTCCCACATCTCCCACCTTCCACGTCCGCGAGGTTTGTGCGTTCTGGCAGCACGTTGTCGATCCGCTCCTGCAGGCGCACTTCAGCATTCAGCATCCTTGTATCAAAATATCGGCTTCAGCGGCAACCCCCCCAAAAAAGATAGAAAAGGTCTACTGAGAAAAGGCCTACTGTGATTTGCCACTATTTTGGAAAGAATCCTGCGGCTTACTTTTTGAACTGGGAGACGCTATGTCTTCATTTCTTTGCATCCTGTCCCCATTTCCCGGCGGTCCATGTAGCGCACATACAAGGCTGTGGCGATGTGCAGCATGAAGCTTTGGAAGCTGAAACAGAAAAAGAAGAGCATCATGGGGAAGACGACGTACCACAACTGACAGCTGGAGACATGGCTTGGTTTTCCCTTTGTTGAAACAGTTGAAACCACGCTTTTTCCCATCAAATATAGGGGGTTCCTATAGAGTTTCCCTTAAACCAACCCAATGACCAGCGAGCCATGGACCAAGCCAGGACGGCTCACTAGGACGACAAATTATGGCTAGCTATGACGATGATGATGAATGAATGGATGAATGATGATTGATGAATACGATGATTAAATGATAAACTTATGATAAACTTGTGGATAAGCTTCATATTTTGACACCCTTCTTGACTCTGCTCTGTAATTTGCTGATCATCACCCAGTTGAAGCCAGTTGATGCTGAAATCTGTGACGGGATAGTTAAACAATTACCCAGGATGAATACCAGGATGGGGTTGCTGAACCGCGGTATATCCTCGGTTAACCGGTTAACCCTAGTTGTTGATAGTCATTGTAGATATTTTTAGATTCTAGATGTTCATGGATATAATTAGCAATTAGAACTATACAATATAGTTGGTTCACTGAGGTCAGACTATATCCCCTAGCCCCGAGTATATAGATTGAGATCGAAATGTGTCTAGCCTAGCTAGGGGGCCATTGTCAGGATCACGGCCCCGGACCTGGGTCCATTTGTCGGTCTCGAAGCCTTTGTCTCGCAATGCCTGAAGTTGTGAAAGACCATCCCATCAACCATAGGGGGTCAGAACCAACAACATCCCATTTCTAGAGGCATACCCAACTTCATAAACAGTGTGAACCTCTAGTGGGGATGATTGGATTGATTGGGTTTACCTCATAATGTACTCTATGTTCATCCACTGATCAGCGCACCTCCCAGGACAGCCGCCGTGGATATATTGAAGCCTTCCGCACCTGTCGGATCCATCATGGTGCTGAGGTTGTGGGTATGTAACCATGCATCTAACATAGGGGTTACAGGTGGTTACTGCATATCTCAACTTATGGAGGGTATTATCCACTGCTGCCATGCTGCTGATGCCATTTCTTCTCCGGAGAGTCTTCCTTGGCTCAGCTTTCACGTCCGCTGAAGAGTTTTGCACAAGCCGAACTCACTTGAGAAACTGGGGAAATCATGGAAAATCATGGAAACTCCACAAAACTCTATCAAAAATTCCAGGTGCAGCTATTGAATCATGGGAATTCATCCAAAAAACAACTACTGCGGTTCCCTTTCATATGAAAACTCGTCGATGCCAAGGCGCGGTAGATCATGCTGAGGGCAACCAACTGCTTCATCGATTGTGGCTTGGTTTGTTTCGCCTCCAGCACTCGTAACTCGGTGCACTCTCGGTCACGAGGAACGGGATGAATCTAAGGTCACATGCTTTTGTCAATCTCTGGTCGCGTTTCGACATTGACGCCAGTATATCTAGCCTTCATATGCCTTCATCACCATCTATGATCATCTATTCACAAGAACTTTAGAGGCGCAACAACCAAGCAATGGCATCAGTTCAAGTGCCAATTTCCGACAAGGTGGTGCCCCGGTTCACTCACTGCTGGGTCTATGAGTCTATGGTAGATATCATGATATATCGAACTGGTTCATGGGCACATTACAAACAATCAAAAAAAGTGTTCACTAAGTTACTGTAAACAGCACCAATATATATATATATATCTCTCTCTCTCTCTCTCTGTCTGTGTGTTATATAAATCCCAATGTCCTTGGGCCACTCCCCGTCGAAACAACTGGAAATCTCTTCCCCACCTGCTTCAGCTCGACCGCTTCGGGCCGGTCCTTGTGCGCCTGTCGCTGGCTGGGGAAATGCCACCAAAGATGGCGGGGTTTTTAATGGGAAGATCATGCGAAAACCATGGAAAAACCCAGTGAAAATCCCCACACCAAATATGGAGGTTTATAGCTGGACAAATTATTGAACTAAATGAAGATTTGAATGGGGAAATCATCTATAAATGGAGGTTTATGCAGCTGGCAACATCATCGAACTATTCCTGGTTTTCCGGCACGCCATGCGACTGATTACCAAAGGGTAATGCTACAGTTACCACATTGCGCTGTCCATCCATATTCATCCCCAAAGACTCACCGTTGCTGGCATTGGGGTAAACCCCACATTGCTGGAATATGTTTCTGTACATATCTGTGTTATAAAATTATGGAATCTATATATGGAATCTATAAGTATATCAGCTGTATATCTATGAATCTATGCCTGTATACGTGCATACTTTCCGTGGTATAAACCCGTCCATTCCCAAATGCAATGCCGTGGTCTTTGGGGTGTGGATATGGTGCGTCCAAGTGACTATAAATTCCTCAAACTCCTCAGCCCACCTCCCATGCCGACTGGCCTTAGCGCAATGTTTTTGGCGTAGAAACTCAAATATTTTTGGAAAACTAAAATAACCATATGATGGGTAAGGTGGGATTTAAAAAAATATTCCTAATGACTAATGTGTATGAATTTGGACCCCTTACTTGGGATATTTGGGATGATTTACTGCATCACCGCCCTTGGCTGATACTTGGGGATTGTTTTTTTCAAAGTGCAGCCCGCATTGCTGGAGTTTGACCCAGGCCCAACTGGTCCCTCACACATTTGAGTCCTGAACATCACGGTCTTGCCCTTCCTTCACCCAATCAGATATCTCATCCAATGCTGTTTTCAGATCTGGATCTCCTGCAGGAATCTCAATCAGTAACAGTGGTCAAGTGTGGCACCATGTCCAGCATGCTGGCTTGTGACAAAATGGAAAATCTGAAAGACATGTCAGATAGGGATACCATGTATCTATTTATCTATCTATCTATCTATCTGTCTATCTATCTATCTAATCTGATCTGATCTGATCTGATCGAATCGAATCGAATCGAATCGAATCGAATCTATGAATCTATCTATCTATCTATCTATCTGTCTATCTATCTATCTATCTATCTATCTATCTATCTATCTATCTAATCTATCTAATCTATCTAATCTATCTAATCTATCTATCTATCTATCTACCTATCTATCTATCTATCTATCTATCTATCTATCTATCTATCTATCTATCTAATCTATCTAATCTATCTAATCTATCTAATCTATCTAATCTATCTAATCTAATCTATCTAATCTATCTAATCTATCTAATCTATCTAATCTATCTAATCTATCTAATCTATCTAATCTATCTAATCTATCTAATCTATCTAATCTATCTAATCTATCTAATCTATCTAATCTATCTAATCTATCTAATCTATCTAATCTATCTAATCTATCTAATCTATCTAATCTATCTAATCTATCTAATCTATCTAATCTATCTAATCTATCTAATCTATCTAATCTATCTAATCTATCTAATCTCCTAATCTATCTAATCTATCTATCTATCTAATCTATCTAATCTATCTAATCTATCTATCTATTATCTATCTATCTATCTACCTATCCTTTCCTTTCCTTTCCTATCCTATCCTATCCTATCCATCTAATCTAATCTAATCTAAACTAATCTAATCTAATATAATCTAATCTATCTTTCTATCTTTCTATCTCTCTATCCATCCAATCGATCTAATCTATTCTTTCGAACTTATTTTTTAAAATTAATCTATTCTTCCTATCTATCTATCATTCATTCTTTCTTTCTTTCTGTTTATATCATGGGAGATAGAATGAGCTTATGGCACCACCGGTCACCCCGCCACGTGGCATCGTGTCCCGTTGCGGCGCCTTCTTTGATCTGCAAGAAAGGACATGGCGCGTAGCGGACCAGCGCGCCACGGGCTTGCCAGCCATAGGGGTCGGTCTTGTCGGGCTTCAAGGGCACGTTGCCTCGTTGGATTCATTGAAGTGCCGGAGAACCACCGTGGGGCTGCCACTCGTCCCAGCATTGGGGTTGGAAAACTCGGTAGTCATTTTTAAACACAAAAAAAAGCTGAAAAGCTGAAATCTGGCACGGAGGTAAGAGGTTTCAAGACTAAGAAACCATGGCCCAAACTCTTTGTGAAAAGGGTGGCTACACCCTCCCTCAAACAACGGACACGAATGTTGCAAGCCCAGAGGTTTCGCCAGGTGGGGGTGGTTTATACCACTGGTTTCTTGTAAAATTGTACAGTTTCCCGTAATTTTCACTTTAAACCCACGGGTTTCAGACTATGACCGAGACCCTTCCCGGAGGTCCCCACCAAGAGGCAGATGCAAGTGCACTTTTTCACTCCAAGTTGGGCTCGGTAAATTGAGCCAGTCAGTTGATTGGCCCTTGAGCCAAATTGAATGGCTTGAGCCAAGTTGCAACAGTCGGAGGACGTCTCAACGACTGTGAAAACTTTAAAAAAGACCTTAGTGGGGGTGCAGTGGTACTCTGTGCATGTTTCCCAAACCGCACTCCCCCTTCCTGCTTGCAGGAATCCAGGTTCCCCAACACCAAAAACAAAAGCTTCAGGGGTGGCCACGTTTCCTCTGGGAACTCGCCCTTCCCCCAGCCAGAAGGGCGAAGACCCTCGTGTGCCATAGTCCCAGGCTGGTGTTGGTTCCCCCTTCATCCAAGGGTCGCGTGGAGTTCCACTTCGGGTTGACTCCAAAAATTGAAAAACTACAGCCCTAACTTCGTAGGTTTTGAATTCCCTCTCTCACCAGCGCTGTCCTCGAAGAGCGCCCAACGGTGTTCTTTGGGTCCAGCAGCTGATGAGCTTTTCCCTGTATTGGTCTTTTCCACCGGCAGCTAATGATCTTTTCCTTGGGTCTTGTTGATCTTTTTCTCCAGCCACCGATGTACTTTTCCGTGTGACCTATTTCCTTTTGGGTGAGCTTTTCGCCACATCTCTTGGGTCTTGTTTGACAAGGAAAACGGTGTATCCCACCCACTTGTCTTCGACCCACTTGGTCTCCCAGTCAAAATCCAAGATTATTTTTCGCTCGTTGCTGTCCAGGGTATTCCACAAAAATGTGACCCGGTAAGGATCCAACTGGTCGACCTTTTTCGGTAAAGTGGGGTGATCTGGATGAAATGAATTCTGTCTCCATTTGTAATGGATTCTTGTGATGATTCGTCCATAGTCCCCAGGGGCTGGAACATGCCACATGTCAATGGCCTGACCCTGTTCTTCAAAGCCTGTTACGGCCGGCGGCTTTGTCATCCATGCTGTGCCCTCTCCAGAGATGATATATTCCACCTCACGCATGACCACCTCAGGCATGTAAACTGTCCAGCTGGCTGGGTCTTCAGGACGTCGAATTAAATCTTGTCCCGGACGAATCCTTGGTCTTTGGGCCGGTGGCGGAGTCTCCGGTTCTGCTGGCCTTCTTGGTGTCTGGGAAGACTCAGTGTCCTCCTCCGGATGCTCCTTGTACCACTGTTCCCATTCAGCCTCGGTGTATTTGTTCTTCTTCTTCTTTTTCTTTTTCGGTTCCCATTTGTCACCCCATGCACCATCCCACCAATACCATTCTCCTCCATCCACTTCATAGTAAGCCGCTGCCTTAGGAGCTGCCTTAGAGGAGGAGGCTCGGGTCGTTTCTGCAGGTTTTTCCCTTGGCTCTGCAGGTATTGCCTTTCCATAGACTGATCTCATCCTTGCAAGGTAATCAGCCATTTTTTCTCCTTCTCTCTGTTCCTTCCATTTTCCCCACTCTTCATCATCGGTGGGTACTTTTTCCTCTTCCTTGGGAGTTGGCATCGACGGTTTTTTCGGTGGCGGTCTCCCAGGGGCTTTCATACCCTCTGGCAGCGGAGCTATCGGTCCCTTTGGGACCCTTTCCGAACCTCGCGATTCGGCTGTAGAAGGGCCAGGGCTTTTTTCACTCTCCGATCGCCTTGTTGTCGATTCCTTTTCCCTGTGTGGCGACCTAGATCGCCCTGTTTCACCCCGTCTCCGACGGTCTCTTCCTCTTTCCCTTTTATCATGGGCGCGATCAGCATCCCTCTCTTCGGTTTTTCTTCTTTTTTCCTTTCGATGATCTTCTCCCGGACGTGGTTCTTCTTCCTGATGTTCATCTTTTTCTACAGTTGGCGCCGCCGTGGAATGACCTTCTCCCCCACGTACATCTTTTTCTCGATCTTTCAGGGCCAACTTCACCATCAGTTCAGCTTGTTCCACCATTTGTCGATTGAACTGAGGAACCACCAGGAGTGTCAAATGGCTCATAAGCCATCGGAAAACTTCCCACACCAGGATGACCATCATGGCATAAAGTATGCCAAAAAACTGACCAAAGACGCCTTGCGAAACATCTTCACCGTCCATAGCTGTCACTGGTACAGCAAGGCAGACGAGGACGCTTTTGAGCCCAAAACTTTTGGAAAAATAAATTGCTGCGGACAACCCCAATTCCCTAACGGAAAAACACTTAAATCCCGTTGGTTGCGGAGCTATCCCCTTTGAGGTTTCAGGATGGTTTTTCCCCTTACCTACCACATTAGAATTCCCCAAAAACCCAATTCCCCAAGTTGCAACCAGATCCCACGGTTCTGTGGAACCCGACCTTGGTACAACTTCAGCAGCTCGATGTTCTTCTCGATCGGACCTGGCACAATCCAAGTCCCAAGGTTTTTCTTGTCCATCACCCAGGATGGTCTTAGGGATGGGTTCTTCTTTTTCATAACTGTGCAATTGGGCAACATGACCGTGATGATCTTGTACCCGCAAAACTTTCAAAACTGGTGGATTTTCATCCCAAAAATAAACCCTTTTTGGTTTTGAGTTACCCCTTTTGGTCTTATTACCCCGTTTTAGGATACCCCTAGGTTCTTCTTCTACAGGGTGTTCAACTTGTCCAGGAATGTTCTTCTTCTCCAAAAACGGTAAGACCGACTCCAACTGGAACCGATCCTTGACCACGGATTCAGTGACGCGATACGCATCAGCCAGTACTCGCACCAGCCTTCCAATGGCAGTGCTCAAGGCTTCATGCCGGAAATCGGCTAGTTCTGGATATTCCTCGGCCAGACCAACCACCTTTTTCACCACTGATACGCACCGACCAGCGATATCTCGGTAGTTGTCCCAGGAGGAAGTCTCCTGGTCTGGTTCTTCTGGACGTTGTTCTTCTCCCAGAGGTTGTTCTTCACGATGGTTGGACCCCATTGATGTTTCCTCATTTGGAACCCCGGAACCTTGGTGATTGACGAACCTCCAGAACCTTTCCCAACTGGGCTTCACAGCGATGATCTTCGTCAGGAAATCGGCCACAAGTTTTACCCCTGGAAGGTGACGGATGATCCAACTACCATCCTTTAACCGCTCCCTTAGGGCTGTTGCTCGCAACCGCAAGTGTCGAGTCCTCCACGGACCGTCAGGATTTTCCAAGATGGCTATTGCAGCCGTGTTGTCTCCGTAGATGATCTTCTGCCCGATTTTCCGTCCTTCCACGACCTCTATGAGAGACGCCAGAGAGTCTCCCATGACCATGGATTCCAAGTAGGACATCAATTCCCCTTCGGCGGTGCTCAACACCACAAAAGCTTGACGGCTGGCTTCCCATTGAACCAACCCTCCACCATAAAAACCTAGGATACCCTGCAGTGATCTTTCGCCCGCAGGGGCAAATGAAATGTCCGAGAACATTTCGACTTGCTGCATCTCCCGGTGAAATGGCAGATCATCTTCGGGACCACGATCATCACTTGTGCAAACCCCATAGCTGAGATGTTGAGTTTCGGTTCCCTTCAGGTAACCAAACACCTGTTGTGCGGTTTTCACCACCCATTTGGGCCGTTTGTTCACCTGTCTTCCCAATTGGCTGACGGCGAAACTGATATCCGGCCTTGTCCTTATGGACAACCACAACAACTCGCCCACCACCGTTTGAGCTTGTCGGATGTTTTCAAGTGCTGGTTGTTCTTCTTCCGGAAGTTCGGCATCCGCTTTCGTCATCGGAACCGGTCTTGGGTGTTCTACTTGATGTCGATTCAACAGATCCCGAGTGTAGGACTGCTGTCCCACCTTCAACTTCTTGTGATCCCCTTGACCGCTCCATTGGAGCTCGAACCCACAAAATCGAACCCAGCCTTTGTGATCAACTTCTTCAGGAGTGGAGCAAGTCCATTCTTCCTTCAGCCTCTTCAAGAAGCTGTGTTTGGCGTGAGGTTCCGCAAGAACCATAAGATCGTCCACATAGACGACCACCAAACCCACTTGCCGATATCCATCAGGACGTACTTCTTCTCCCGGAGCGTCACCACCTTTACACAGGATTCTTCACAAATTTCCTTCTGGCGTTTGTTCCAGCTTGTACTCCTTCTGCATCTCCCCCGGGCTTGCATCTCCCTGCCATGTGAACCGCCGCATTGTTTGGTCGCGGTACACTGCCCAATGGGCAGGGCTGGATTGAAACCCATACAGGGCCTTGTCGACAAGCCAGACCTCATCCGGTTGGGTAATCCCAAAATCAGTCATGATCCTGGGCGGCACCACCGCCACGGTTTTGGCACCTTGTTCCACCGGCCGAGGAGCCAGTAGAAAGGCGGTCTTGATGTCCGTCGTGGCTACATCCCATTGGTGATGAGCTGCCTTTCGCAATGCACACCTTATCAGAACCCCGTCCGCTCCACTGGCATACAGCAGAGAGGAAGGCATGGGATCCGCTTCCGGTGATGCCAAGTTGCCGCAGATCACAGCGCGACATTTGTATCTCCCTCCAGCCTTGATCACACAGACCAATTTCCCCGGCACCAATTCGGCTTCAGGGTCAATCTCGGACCTTTTGACTGGTCGGATAGCTTTTGTTTCTGCAGTCAAGGATTTGTACTCGGCGAGCATCGAGTCGTACCATTTTTCCTTTTCCATTCTCACCTTGTGGAGAGGGACTGTAACAGTTTGAAGTTGTTCTTCTCC